GAACAAATTATTTAAGTGATTTGTAGCTGGAGGTGAAAACATTTTGTCTGTCAGTAGACTTGAAGCTAGCCATAGACTTCAGAAAACAAGATCTGCTAGCTAGAACTATTGTTGATTCCATTGCAGAGGGTGGGAGGAAGGCTTTCAGGAGTACATCAGTGCTGACTTATGTTGTAGCAGGGTTCAATATTGACCAAGCCTCCCCTTCCTGCCAGGTCGATGGGAGTATTCAATTAGTTAATAAAATAGCTGGGAGTCAAAAGGGGTCAATAAATATATTAGTCTAGATGGTTGATAGGTGAGATGGCAATAGGCAAGATGGTGTAACCCAGGGCTGGATGGCCAGCTGCCAGTGCCCTTGAATTGTCTGTCAGCTGTGTTTTTTCACTGGCCTCGTTTACATGTGCGCTTTGCACAGTATGTTTCTGTGGCCTTTAATCCCCTTCTGAGAAGAAAATATGAACTTTTCAACTTCCTGTACTGAGTACACTCCTTCACCTCAAACTCTGTTGGAGAGACAGTGAGTACAGCCATAGTGATAGGGGTGGTGCCAAAAAACTGATCACTGTGCATTTACTGAAAATTCAGCATTGTAACAACCATAAGGACAGCTGATACCTAGAGGAAGTGTTAACAGTAGTAATATTTTCTTAATTTGGAGGACAATACACAATGTGAAAATTCATGGAGGGTTGAGCTGAAAAGTTGGGGACCCCTGTCTTAACCAGTGGTGATTAGCCAAAAGTATCCAAGATGATATTTTTCCCTCTTACAGACTTAAGCCTTGTTCTGCACTGTGTATCAGACTGGAAGCAGCCATCATGATTGAGGAGCAGGGCTTTGCTTCCTCATGTCAGTGCTGCCCCTTGATGACTGGTGATATGATGACTTGAAGGGCAATAAAGAAGCAGTAGGGGAAATGGAGGAAACACAGGCAGGCTGAATGCATGAAACAGGAACAGATACAGTAGATCCTTGAACTTATGGGTCCTTAGGTTCAGCTTCCTCTTCAACAGGTCCCCAGAGAAACACTGAGCATCAAAATAGAAAACTCATCAATGTAATTTCAAATCTCATGAGACTAGCAGTCATAGGCAGCATTGCCTTAGGTAATCTTAACGCTGCAGATATAAAGCTGCTGGCTTACACAACAGGAGTGCCTAGGCATAGTCAGATGCCAGGATGTACACTGCTATTTGTCATGAGACATTTTTAAAAAGGGGGGTCCTTAGAGTGGTGCTTAGGCATAATTAATTTCTAGATGTTCCCTATAAATTTTCACATTTTGCATTCAAGTCTTCTTTGAGGCTCCATGCACACTGACTTAAAAAAAAAAAGTGCTTCTACAGGGGTTTTATGTTTTTCCTGTAGAAGAAGCTCAGTGTTATCCTATGTGCCCATGCACATTATTTAGAGGCATATTTTAAGCTCAGCATTTAGAGGCAGGAAGAAAAATCCTTATGGTTTATGTTTTTGATTGGAGTATTCTGGCAGAAAAAAAACGCTAAACACTCCTAAACGTACCCATACATTCTACAAAAACGCTCTATATGAGCTTTTTTTTCTGCCAAGGGAGCTGCCATTTTTTTAAGCCAGGGCCTAAATGAATCTTTCAGAAGCTAATGCAGTAGTAGTGAGTACCTTCATGAATACACAATGCTCAATGCACAGAAATATCAGACAGATGTTGTTCTGTTTTCACTTTCGTTCATTTTCAAAAACTGACCTTAGGTTAAAAAGTCCTCTGTTAGCTTTTACCTCTACTTGACTTGCAAACAGCTTACTAGTTGCAAGTTATTCATCTTACTCACAGGTGCCTGACTGCCCTGAAATTAGCATGTAGCTTGTTCCTTACCCAGGATTGTACATTGTATATAGCTGCCTAATATATTAAAGTGAACAAAAACTGCAAGCATTGACACTGGCTTTATGAAAACCCCAGTGCATGTTTTAAGCTCTTGGTTTCATGAAATACGCTGCATAGGGAATTTGGTTGTTTATTTGATAAATGCACAAGTAAGATATGATTTAAAAATCCTAATCTTAAAACAGACAAGCTGTTTAGGCATCACAGAAATAGGTATTTCTTATTTAAGTCACTGTTACATTTATGTGGCTAGGTATCACATTTAGCTCTGCCACTATTTTCATCCAGACAGATTCGTTATATCTTCCAGCTATCTATATTACTACAGCTATGTATAGTAGATTATGTCACTTGAATTTGTGTAGATGTTCAAATGCAACTCCTCTGCTATGCAGTGCTCAATCATTCATTGGCGCGGTGCCTTTGTCAAGGTGCACAAGTGTTTAGTCATAACACAGCCTTTTCCAGAATGGCCAATGGAACCTCCAGAAGCAAACACTTCGGATCTGAGGTTGTTTTGGTGCTTTTATACATTTAGGAAATGATACATACAGTATCTCACAGAAGTGAGTCCATCCCTCACATTTTTGTAAATATTTAATTATGTCTTTTCATGTGACAACACTGAAGAAATGACACTTTGCTACAATGTAAAGTAGTGAGTGTACAGCTTGTGTAACAGTGTAAATTTGCTGTCCCCTCAAAATAACTCAGCACACAGCCATTAATGTCTAAACCGCTGGCAACAAAAGTGAGTACACCCCTAAGTGAAAATGTCCAAATTGGGCCCAAATAGCCATTTTACCTCCACCTTGTCATGTGACTCTTTAGTGTTACAAGGTCTCAGGTGTGAATGGGGAGCAGGTATGTTAAATTTGGTGTTATCGCTCTCACTCTCTCATACTGGTCACTGGAAATTCAACATGGCACCTCATGGCAAAGAACTCTCTGAGGATCTGAAAAAAAGAATTGTTGCTCTACATAAAGATGGCCTAGGCTATAAGAAGATTATCAAGACCCTGAAACCGAGCTGCAGCGCAGTGGCCAAGACCATACAGGACAGGTTCCACTCAGAACAGGCCTCGCCATGGTCAATCAAAGAAGTTGAGTGCACGTGCTCAGCGTCATATCCAGAGGTTGTCTTTGGGAAATACACGTATGAGTGCTGCCAGCATTGCTGCAGAGGTTAAAGGGGTGGGGAGTCAGCCTGTCAGTGCTCAGACCATACACCGCACACTGCATTAATAGGTCTGCATGGCTGTCATCCCAGAAGGAAGCCTCTTCTAAAGATGATGCACAAGAAAGCCCGTGAACAGTTTGCGGAAGACAAGCAGGCTAAAGACATGGATTACTGGAACCATGTCCTGTGGTCTTATGAGACCAAGATAAACTTGTTTGGTTCAGATGATGTCAAGCGTGTGTGGCAGCAACCAGGTGAGGAGTACAAAGACAAGTGTGTCTTGCCTACAGTCAAGCATGGTGGTGGGAGTGTCATGGTCTGGGCTGCATGAGTGCTGCTGGCACTGGGGAGCTACAGTTCATTGAGGGAACCATGAATGCCAACATGTACTGTGACATACTGAAGCAGAGCATGATCTCCTCTCTTCGGAGACTGGGCCACAGGGCAGTATTCCAACATGATAATGACCCCCAACACACCTCCAAGATGACCACTGCCTTGCTAAAGAAGCTGAGGGTAAAGGTGATGGACTGGCCAAGCATGTCTCCAGACCTAAACCCTATTGAGCATCTGTGGGACATCCTCAAACGGAAGGTGGTGGAGCCCAAGGTCTCTAACATCAACCAGCTCCGTGATGTCATCATGGAGGAGTGGAAGAGGACTCCAGTGGCAACCTGTGAAGCTCTGCTGAACTCCATGCCCAAGAGGATTAAGGCAGTGCTGGAAAATAATAGTGGCCACACAAAATATTGACACTTTGGTCCCAGTTTGGACATTTTCACTTAGGGGTGTACTCACTTTTGTTGCCAGCGGTTTATACATTAATGGCTGTATGTTGAGTTATTTTGAGGGGACAGCAAATTTACACTGTTATACAAGCTGTACACTCACTACTTTACATTGTAGCAAAGTGTAATTTCTTCAGTGTTGTCACATGAAAAGATATAATAAAATATTTACAAAAATGTGAGGGGTGTACTCACTTCTGTGAGATACTGTATTCTACAAAGAAACAAGATCAAGAGGTGTTTTAAGGCTTTAAGTTGTTGACCAAACTATTTCTTTTCTGTGGACTTCATGTATACCTAGATGTTTGCTAAATCTGTGATTTGTAGCAACACTCTGAGTGAGAAACCATACCACCAGTGTTGCTCCCCCCCCCCCCCCCCCCCATTGATTGCATTCTTATACTTTTTTTTTTAAAGTTCAAAATATTTGTATTTTGACAGTACCATACAGGTGTTTGGCCAGTAAAAATTTGTTAATTCATAAACTTTTCTACAACAATAAACCCATATTAGCATTAAAGCAGTTGAGATTTTGTTTCTGTAAAATAATAGGCATGTTATACTTACAGTACATACCTGCTCTGTGCAATGGTATTGCACATTAGGTGTTCTTTGTATTTGTGTTTTTTTTTTTCCATTTTTGTATTTGAAAATTATATGTGTACTGAAACACACATAGATCCATAGCTCCACTCAGAACTGACCTCTCCTGCTCATGGACAACCTGGGTGCTGGCCATCACAGGTCGTCTCCACTCTTCATTGAAAATAGGGAAAAACTCTAATTAGCTCTTCTAGTGGTATTTTCTATTGAAATGCCACCAAAATAGCTAATTGGAGTGTGACTGAGTTTTTCCTATTAGTTGTGTACTGTCACATTTATTATTCTATTTAACTTTTTCATTTTTTTTTTCGTTTTGTGGAGAAAAACATAAAATAATGAGGCTTACAAAAAGCCTATATTGGTACAAGAACAGGTCCAGGATAATTGAAAAAAGCTTCTGTAACCCACGAGAGTCATTTAAAGCCCTCTCCCCATAACAAGGGGGGGGGGGAGCTTCCTTACACTTTAATGTAGGCAACTCCTGAGTACTTTGCAAATGTTAGTGGCATAGGAAGGTACACTCAGCATGCTTATTTAAATGTGTTTTTTTTTAAACTTTTAGGGTTTCCAACATACAGCACCAACTGGCTCTTCTTGAAAGTGAAGCATGGCCTGGAATGGCAGAAGCAGACAGGGACCGAATACAACTCATCAAGGAAAAAGAGGCTCTTCTGCAAGACCTGCAGCTCATTAGCCAGCAAAGGCGACCTCCTGAAGATCTGGCAAAGCTGGAAGAAGAAAAGGGACGTCTGGCTGATGAGATCCAGAGGGCCCGCTCCATCTCCACTCAAGGAGTCACTGAAAGGTTTGTGCAGAAACATCTTCTGACAATTCATTTGTTTTTATGTACAGCCATATACACAGAATTATGAAAATAAGTTCAACAACCATCTACAACTTGACGGAAAAGAGGCTGCTGTGATTTTGACGGTCATGCCAGATTACCTTGACAATGACCATGTTACATAATGTAAACAAAAAGAAAATGAATAGTGTATGGGTTGTCTAAATATAGTTGCATTTATTGTACTTTTGTGTAACTGGCATTCACACATAAAGTGATTTGAAATGCATCTCTTGGGTGTATTCTTCCCTATGTTCCCAAAGTATGTGAACCCCTTGGGATTACGTGGAGTTTTGCATGAATTGGGCATAAAATGTCCAATTCATGACCTTAAGAGAGCGATTCACACCAGACATCCCAAGAATATTGCTACACTGAAACAGTTTTGTGAAGAGGAGTGGTCCAAAATTACTCCAGATCGTTGTGCAGGTCTGATCTGCAACTACAGGAAACGTTTGGTTGAGGTTATTGCTGCCAAAGGAGGGTCAACAAGTTATTAAGTCCAAAGTTTCACATACTTTTTCCTCCCTGCACTGTGAATGTTTACATGTTATGTGCAATTAAACCATGGCAACATCTAATGTTTGTGTATTATTATGTTTAGCAGACTGTGTTTTTCTATTGTTGTGACTTAGATGACGTTCAGAGCACATTATATGCCCAATTCATGCAAAACTCCACGTAATCCCAAGGGGTTCACATACTTTTTCTTGCAACTGTATAAGCACTGTGGTTAATCGATCTCAGTACAACCACCCTGTTGGACTCTCACCGTTCGATCAGCGCTACAGGCAATAGCCTGCAATGTTGATTGGTGTATTCTGACAGCATGTAAGTCTCCTTACTGTCAGAATACAATAGCTCAGTGGGGTCCACAAAGAGAGTGTGGATGGAGGAATTGAGATAGTTTTTTTTTTTGTTCAACCAAAAATAACTGACTCATTTTTTTGGGGGCTGCCTAAGTTTTGCTTTATATAGTAATGCTCATATCCTGCCCTTTCACACTGAGGTGCCTGTGTCCTGCCTCTTGACACTGAGGTGTTCATGCCCTACTCTTTAACATTGTAGTTCCCATGTGCTGCCCCTTATTTAATACTGTAGTGCTTGAATGTTGCCTTTTTACACCGAGCTGCTAATGCCCTACTCTTTAAGACTGTACTGTTCAGGTCCTGCCATTTTTACACTGTAGTGTTCGTGTCCTACCTTTTCACACTGTATTGCTTGTGTCCTGCCCCTTAACATTATGGTCAAGTCATACCCTTTCACACTTAAGTGCTAAAATCCTGCTCTTTTGTATTGTAGTGCTCATGTCCTGCCGTTTCATGCTGAAGTGTTCATGTCTTTGTATTTCACACTGAGGTGCTTATATTCTGCCCTTTTACACTGAGGTGCTCATGTCCTGCCTGTTCATACTGAGGTGCTCATATTCTGCCTTTCAAACATAGGTGCTCACTGCTCCACCTTTTAACATTGTAGTGCTTATTTTCTGCCCTATTCCATGTCTGCCCTTTCACACTGAGGTGCTCATGTCTTGCCTCTTCATACTGAGGTGCTCATGTCCTGTCCTTTCACATTGTAGTGCTCATGACATTCTTTTTCCATATGGCTCTGTCACACTGATGCACTTCTGATGCGTTACCATTGACTTACAATGGAAGGTGCTTTTTTGATGCGCTCTTCAAAAATGTCACCAAAGCAGCATGCAAAACTTTTCAAAGCGCAGCAAACCTGCAGTCTGAACAGTTACAAATACAATTTAATGTGGAATAGTTTCATGCGCTTTTGTCGCCCTGGAAAAGTGGAGCAAATGTGCGGCAGTGTGAAAGGGGCCATACTGAGGTGCTGATGTCCTGCCTCTTCACACTGAAATGCTCATATCCTATCCTTTCACACTAAGGTGCTTATATGGCACCCCTTCACACTAAGGTCCTTTTGTCCTGTCTTTTCAAACTGAGGTGCTCTTATCCTGCCCTGTCACACCCTAGTGCTTATGTCCTCTCTTGTCAGTCTGTAATGCTCATGCTGTGCCATTTCATACTGAGGTGCTTATGTCCTGCCGTTTTACACTGTAGTGCTCATCTCCTGCCATTTTACACTGTAGTGCTCATCTCCTGCTGTTTCACACTGTAGTACTCATATCCTGCCTTTTCATACTGAGGTGCCCATGCCTGGCCCTTTTAAACTAAGGTGTTTATATCCTGTGTCTTCACACTGATCTGCTCATATATTATTTATTTATTTGTTTATTTCAGGTACTTATATAGCGCTGTCAATTTACACAGCGCTTTACATATATATTGTACATTCACATCAGTCCCTAACCCTCAAGGGGCATACAATCTAAGGTCCCTAACTCACATTCATACATACACATACTAGGGCCAATTTAGACAGGAGCCAATTAACCTCCCAGCATGTCTTTGGAGTGTGGGAGGAAACCAGAGTACCCGGAGGAAACCCCGCAGGCACAGGGAGAACATGCAAACTCCAGGCAGGTGGTGCCGTGGCTGAGATTCAAACCAACAACCCTAGTGCTGCCAAGTGGAAGTGCTAACCATTTAGCCACTGTGCTGCCCATTATCGTTTCACACTAAGACCCCTTTCACAGGGTGATCCAATCAGGTCGGCCTGTCAGCTTTTCAGACAGACCTGACCGGATGGTCCATATCACTATCGATCAGCTGCTGGTGTAAACAAACTTGTATACGTTTAAACCAGCCTACCTCCAACCAAATCAGATCCGCAAGAAAGAGAAACGGAAGGGGATCCGTCTAGGCGGATGGGATTGGAGGGTAGTCTGGTGTAAACGGACAGCGGAGTCCGTTTACACTCGGCCACCCATAGAGCAGAGTGAGCTCTGTCCATGTCCGCTCTACATAAACTGAGCAGACATGGACCTGTTAACCGCCTGCTCTACTCTGCTCAGCAGGGGATCAGTGGACAGATCATCTGCTTCTGAGTAAATCGGATTCTGCCCTGTGTGAAAGGGGCCTAAGGTGCTCATATTCTGCCCCTTCACACTAAGGTGCTTATATCCTAGCTCTTCACACTGGAGTGCTTTTATCCTGGCTCTCTAGTGCTCATGTCCTTTTCTTTCAAACTGTAGTGCTTATTCCCTGCTCTTTCAAATTGAAGTGCACATGTCCTGCCCTTTCTCACTGTATTGCTCATGTTCTGGTCTTTCACACTGTATTGCTCATATCCTGCCTATTCACACTAAGATGCTCATGTCCTGCCTCTTTACGCTGTGGTACTCATATCCTGCCCCTAACACTGAGGTTTTTTCTTGTTCCTTCATACGTCTTATACTAGAAAAAGTGCATTTTTCTAATTGAGAAATAAAAGTCATCCATCGAAGGTTTGCAGTCTTCATCCATTTCTCAAAGTGAAAATGGTAATGTGTCATATACACAAATGTGAGAATATTTTCAGCCAAGCTTTCATTTGACAATTTATGATAAATACCTGTTAACAAGTATGAACCAAAGCTGAGCTTAACTAATACTGAAAGATGTTTCCTATGGTGACTACTGCATCGGCTTTAAAGCTGTAGGTGATTTACCATGAGGGAAGGAGTAATAAAACAGCTAGTGTAAAGGAAAAAATTGTTTTCTGGATGTGTTTTGTGAAACTGAGGGATTGGCAGTGTGAAGTGGATCACATAATGCATCATATGTATTCTAACAGGGTGATCCAAAACAGTCTGTTGCTAGGCTGACCCCTCTTGTGCCTTTCTGGGTAGCCAGGGAGGTCAGTCATCTCTTCCTTCTAGCCATGTCCTGAAAAAAAGTGCATCATCTCTCCCTAAGGCAAATGCAAACTTGGATGTGTTACCCTAAGAGAGATTCAATAGACTGCCAAAGACTGTACTAAAGAACAAAAGACATTAACATTGCTAATCTTGCTTTTTTCCTCTGCAGGACTGTAGTAACATGTATAAAAAGCAATTAATAAAGTGAGAGAATTACTAAAAGAAATGATCATATGTTTAGGTTAATTTTGTAAGCATAACAAGTAATTTACAGAATAAAGATTTAAAAGTAACCCATCAAAATTTAAAGTAAGAATTGCCTGTGTTGGATTTCCTGTACCTGCCCTTGCTTCCATTCCCAATCCAAAAATACTGGTAAGTTAAATGTCTTCCACCCAAGCTGGCTTAAAATGTACAGTATGTGTGAGTCAGCTAGAGGGAAATCAGAGTGTGAACTGTTTAAGGGGGATCAGGGGGATGAACTGTTTATGTGAATTTAAATTTTTACTCTGCACTATATTATATGTCAGCAATATACAGTGCTCGGCATTAAATGAGTACACCCCTTTTGAAAAGTAAGATTTTATTCAATATCCCAATGAACACAAGAACAATTTCCAAAATTTTGACAAAACTGAGTTTTATAGAATGTTTGTTTAGCTTGTTACATGAAAGTAAGGTTAATAATATAACTTAGATTACAAAATATTCAGTTTTACTCAAACTAGTTGATGCAAAAATTAATACACCCCACAAAAAAACTACTACATCTAGTATTTTGTATGACCTCCATGATTTGTAAGGACAGCACCAAGTGGAATGAGCAAGTTGGCGACACTTTGCAACATCTATCTTTTTTCCATTCTTCAAGAACGACCTCTTTTAGAGCCTGGATCCTGGGTGGAGAGTGATGCTTAACTTGTCTCTTCAGAATTCCCCATAGTTGTTCGATTGGGTTCAGATCAAGAGACATACTTAGCCACTGAATCACTTTCACCCTGTTCTTGTTCAGAATTGCAACAGTGGCCTTAGATGTGTGCTTTGGATCATTGTCATGTTGGAAAACTGCACGAAGACCAAGGGTACAGAGTGATGGTGGCATCTTATCTTTCAATATAAAGCAGTGCATCTGTGAATTCATTATACCATCAATAAAATGCAGCTCCCAGACACCAGCAGCACCTTCAGCTCTTGTGCAGCCCCACAGAAGGACACTGCCACCACCATGTTTCACTGTATTATTCATGCATTTTTATTTTTACTCTTCACCTTTGCAACTCCATACAGTTTTGAAGCCAGCAGTTCCAAAAACATTTATCTTGGTCTCATCACTTTAGTGTACAGAGTCCCAGTAGTCTTCTTCTTTTTCAACATGAGCTCTGGCAAATTCTAGGTGGGCTTTTTTGTGCATGGGCTTTAGGAGAGGCTTCCTTCGTGAACGACACCCATGTATGCCATTCCTCTGCAGTGTACGTCATATTGTGTCACGGGAAACAATCACCCCAGTTAGGCTTTCTACTTCTATAGCTAACTGCAGTGAACTTACATGGCGATTTTCTTCAGCTCTTCTCATCAGAAGACGCTCCTGTCGAGGTGTCAACTTCTGTGGACGGCCTGGACATCTCTGTGAGATGGTTGCAGTTCCATCTTTTTTAAATGTTTTATCACTTTTGCTACAGTATTCTGACTGATAAGTAAAGCTTTGCTGATCTTTTTGTAACCTTCATCTTTCTTATGTAAAGAAATTATTTTCTTTCTCAGGCCTTGTGACATTTCTCTTCCATGTGGTGCCATTGCTGACACAATGAAATGGGAAGGGTTTCTTTGTTAAGTAAGCCCTTTTATAATCAACTGTCTGCTAAACACCTGTTTAATGAATAATTGTACTCACCTGTAGTTGAATTCTTGTTGATTAGGATATAGTCTAAAATTTAGCTTTGCTCCTAAGACTTTCGGTGTATTCATTTTTGCAACATGGTCTTGAGTAAATTTGTTAGGAAAAATACTTTTTTGCATGTGCAAATTAACCACTGTTGTTTTTGAAATGAAAGGAAAGGTTTTCTGACAAATTTGTTGGGGTGTACTCATTTATGCTGAGCACTATAATGCTTATGGGCTCCAACTCTATTTTTTTGACAGCTGTGTAGACTCTGTGTTTGTTTCTTTCTTCCTTGCTTGCTTACTATTGCTGTTTTTCTTTATGGTGTGTATGAGGCTAGTTAAAAACATGGTGCTGGAAAAAACAACAGCTGAAGGACTTTATCTGCTTTTTGGTGTGTTCCTTGTGTAAAGCTTTCAAAGTACATATTTGCTTGCATACCATGGATCTTCAAATAGTACCCAAAGATTTTGTTCAAACGTGATCACATCACAGATCAGAGGTGCAGCGTTTCGGGGCCGCGCAATACCCTTTCGTCAGGCATCTGATGATACATGTCAGGCATGATGAGGGGTCCAACACAGCCCTCAAACGTTGCACCCCTGTGATATGATCATGAGACTGAAGCTGAGTACACATGGACCCAAATTCAGCCAGTTTAGCAGGGGCTGGCTTAATTTCTGTCTGTGGGCAGCCCTCCCTGTTAGACAGAATTCAGTTGTTAGATTGGCTTCTGTCCACAACCCTTGTGTGAATGCACAAATTGGTCATATATTTATTTTTAATGAGCCTGCTGGCTAAACGAAAGGAAAACTAACCAGGTGTACCGCCCAGCTTAACACTCAAAGACATTAGTTGCGTTCATACAGCGGACATACAGCCATTACCCTCAACGTACAGGAGCACCTGAACACAGAAAGTAAACTTCTGCAGTATGTTTCAGGAGGAAATCAAAGCCAAAGTTACCTTTACAGGGTACTGCTTAGGCACAATTAACATTTCTAGCTGTTCCCTATAAGTCTACGTTCACACTAGCTTTGTCAGCAGGCGTCAGACAGGGGTTTGAAACGCATATGAAAATTCTGCACATGGCAGCACGCAGTGCTGTTCACACTGAAGTTTTAGCATTGTGTCGCGGCAAAACTGACGCCTCATGTTGAGTCAGGAGGAGTTGAAGCCTCCCATTCAGGTTTATGGTGACGCTCCTCAAATGCCTGGCAGGCATTTGTGAGGCGTTTGCGGAGTGTTAATACCATTTAACTTCATTATAGGCGTTTGTGGTGCGGGTTTAATGCTTGGCAAACACCTCAAAAACGTGTATAGGGCGTTCGAGGAGCACTGAAAACGCTTCCCAAACGTCTGTCTAATGCTATAGGGGCGTTTGGCAAGAGTTAGAAATAAGTCAAGTGTGAACAAGCCCTAAGGCAACTTTCACAATGATCCATAGCAATAACGTAGGAAAAATGTATACGCATTTTGGCCTTGTTTTACCGTGTTTTTACTACACTTGTGCATTTTTCACAGAACATGTGACTTTAAAAAAATAACACTTCAAAAATGCTACCACGTTTACATTTTTTATCTGATTTTGCTGTGTTTTCTATGCACTTAAATGTCAAGGTGCAATTTTGGTGTATTTTTTTTTACCACACCAAAATATGCACCAAAAATGCAAAAGCAGGGTTTTACTAAACACAGCAGACCCACAAAAAATCAGTGTGAAGAGTTCCGTAGGATTACATGGTCACACATTTTTCTTCCGCTTTTTTTAAAGCAAAAGCGGAAGAAAAACGAATCAGTGTGAAAGCAGCCTAAGACAGCAGATTTTCTACTTTAAAATAAATTAAAATAGAAATGTGAGGCATTCTTCTTTCACTATTTATCATCACCAAATATGATACTGGTATTTCAGGAAGATAAATATTTTCTGTAGCACGTTATACTGTTTGTACAAGTCATTTGTACAGAGATTAACATTCCACATTTCTAAAAAAAAAAAAAAAAAAAAAAAAAAACCAAAAAAGTTCCTTGCCATTGCTTTTTGTCAGGGCTCTCTTTCTTCAAAACGAAACTTTTTTTTTTTTTTTTTACTAAGTTAATTTTGCTACATTATCTTCTACTTCAGTGACTTTGACAGTATTGTTATGTAAAACTACATAGGCTATGTGTGATTATTTCAGCACCTGAGCCCATTCATCGTAAATTCCAATGCCTCCCCTCCCCTTCCAGCATGGAAAGCCCAGGTGCTGCTTACAGCCTCTTAGAAACACAAAGGACTGTGTTTGACTGAACTGCTGATCAGTGCTCTGATAAACACAAATATATTGTATGCGCATATGCAAAATATAGAACATTTTCTATTTTTTACATATGCCCATATGCTGTACTCGTGTTTATATGAGTTCTGCCATATACCCGCAGTACAACTACACACAGCCATTCGTGTCTATCGAATGCTGTACGCAGCACCTGGGCTGCCTGGGCAGGTGGGGGAAACATTTACTTTTAATGGGCTCAGTCACCCACTTTACATTTTAGCGCAACAAAGAACTGCATGTAGCTTACCATTTCCCCATTACTGACATACCATGCCCTGTTCCACATTATATGGAGAATTCAGTAAAGCATTTATGACTATGTTCTGGTGGCAGGTCCTTTTAAAGCTACCTGCACTTAAATCAGGCAAGTATTTGTGACAGTTTCGGCATCAGTACCGACACGTGGGTCATATTCAGGTAGTTCTTATTACCACCACTTTAAGAACATGTCACTATGACAGCAACTGATTGCGAAAAAATTATTGGTAGGTTACAGATTAGCACTCATGCAGTCCCACAGAAGGACACTGCCAACGCCATGTTTCACTGTAGGCACCATGCATTTTCCTTTGTACTCCTCACCTTTGCAATGCCATACAGTTTTGAAGCCATCAGTTCCAAAACCATTTATCTTGGTCTCATCACTCCAGAGTACAGAGTCCCAGTAGTCTTTTTCTTTTTCAGCATGGGCCCTGGCAAATTCTAGAAGGGCTTTTTTGTGCATGGGCTTTAGGAGAGGATTCCTTCGTGGATGACACCCATGCATGCCATTCCTCTGCAGTGTATGCTGTATTGTGTCACGGGAAACAATCACCCCAGTTAGGTTTTCTACTCCTTTAGCTAACTGCAGTGAACTTGCATGGCCATTTTCTTCAACCCTTCTCATCAAAAGAAGCTCCTGTTGAGGTGCAAACTTCCGTGGACGGCCTGAACGTCTCTGTGAGATGGTTGCAGTTCCATCTTTGTTAAATTTTATTATCACTTTTGCTACAGTATTCTAACTGATAAGTAAAAGCTTTGCTGATTTTCTTGTAGCCTTCTTTCTCAGGCCTTGTGAATGAATAATTAGACTCACCTGTAGTTGAGTTCTTGTTAATTAGGATTTTGTTGTCTAAATTTAGCTTTGCTCCTAAGACTTTTATTGGGGTGTATTCATTTTTGCAACATGGTCTTGAATTCATTTATTAGGAAAAATACTTTTTTGCGTGTGCAAATTAACAAATCTTGTTTGCAATCAATAGCTCGCATTTGTGGGAGTATGAATGTGTCCATTCATAACTGAAGTATAGTAAACTGTGTTTACTATGCTTCAGTTTGTGAATGAACTGGAAGCCACTCAGCACAGAGCACTTCTCATCCATTCACTGTCCAGTGCAGGTGAGGCTGCAGAGAAAGGGACTGGGGAATCTCTGTCCTCAATTCCTTTCTCAGTCTGATATTTTATCAAAGCCCTCCAAGAGGGCTCCTAAAAAAAATCATAAAAAATAATATTGTAAAAAATAATTTAAACATTTAAAAAAAAAAAATAATAAAGTAAAACAATACAAATAAAAAACTACTGACACCAGCCTCTGTCCTACTGACAATGTCCACACTGCCCTACTGACACCATTTACTAACCATCCACTGCCCTACTGACACCGTCCTCTGCCCTACTGACATTGTCCACAGACTGGCCTCTGCCCTATTGGCATGGCTCACACATCATCCACTGCCATACTGTCACTGTGCACACATTATCCACTGCCCTACTGACACTGTCCACAAACCATCCACTGATCGATTGACACTATCTGCCTGACACCATCCACATACTGTCCTTTGCCCCACTGACAGTGAATACTGACACCGTCCACTGCCCTACTGACACTGTCCACTGCTAAGGTAGGCTAAATTTATGTTTTTACAGTGATGTTTGTTTTAATATTTTTTTTTAAGTTCTCACTATTTATTAAGGCCTCGCTATTTAATTCCTTTAGAAAAAAAGGCATCAGACTCCGTTGATCTTTGATTTCATTCATGTTGTTAAGGTAGATCTCCACCTCTCAAAGTTTGCCTACCCCTGCTTTAGTAGATGCTAATGTCCTGTGATACTCAGTAACTCAGGGCACTTTTGCTTTTGCCTGGCTTATGAAAAAGAATTCTTCAATACCTGTTCTGATTATTTCAGCTTGCTCTTCTAATACTTGCTTAATCTTCCACTGGGAATTTCTGAATTCAGAATTTAAACTGTAGACTCTTATAGATTATTACTGATATGTAAATTTGTCAAAACGTCTCAAGGTAAGCCGTTGTGATGTGTAAATTTGTACTGAATTCCTATTGGATCTTGTGGTGAAAATGCAATGTACGAAAGAGTCATGCTTACAGTTAGCAGTCAGTAAACTGAATATAGCACTGGAACTTCATTACTATACTTTTTTATTTGAAGGTTACTTCTACAAGAGAAAAGAAACTGCCTTTTAAAGCATCTGGAGGAAGCTACTCGATTGACTTCTTACCTCCACACTCAAATAAAAAGGTTTGTATTTACAATTACTGTATATTTGTTCCCAAATCAAATTACCTTGCCCATGCAACTTTATATAGCAGAAGAAAGAGTTAAAAAAAAAAGTTTATAAAAGTGAAATTGTTGTTAAAGAATTTCTAAACTCAAAAACAAAAATGTAATATATTGCAGCTTACTAGTTCTCAAGTGTTGTGGCTGTATTAGTTTTTATTTTTCAGACTAAGTACATTTTCAGCAAAGTCCAGGAAACAGCTGTTGATCTAGCTAGAAATGCATTGTCACTGAGAATGCAAATAATATTACCTTCCTTTGTAAACAACGAATTCCCTTACCCCTTAGCTGTATGTAATGAAGATAAAGAGAGGAAGCCATATTTGTAATCTCTCTTATTTGACAACAATGGCTCCCTCTATAGACATTGCTGGAAGAGAAAGTGTAAATGACCTAGGACAAAAACTGTGTTATTCACAGGATTACCAAGTGAAAATAAAGGGAAGGGAAAGAAGCCTGAAAAAAAAAAAATGCAAATGCCCTGTCTAAGGCAGAACAAATCACTGTGCAAAAATTACAAATTGCACCACACGCATTCAGGTGCGATTCTGCCGCAATTGTTGCTTGATAAATCGTGCTGCAATTGTGCAAACCGCATCCTGCTCCTTTTTGGGTGACAAGCTTCACATGATGTGGTTTGCGGTGATTGCAGCGCAATTTAACATGCAACAATCGGGGCAGAACCGCATAGTGATTTAGGTGCCATTAAAATGAATGGCACCTGAACACGCGTGGTGCATGTCAGTATTGCACAGTGTTTTGGGATCACGGGCAGAATCACGGTTATTTTGCCCTCGATAAAAAATGCCCAAATGTGAATGGAGCCTAAGGCCTGGATTTTGGGTTTAGCTATGCTTTAAAGACGAATTCCAGGTATGGCATCCTTACATAGTGACATTGGTTTAACTTGGACCAGTGATCTCCACTAGCTTCTTGGTCCTGTGCCGAGTGGCTGCATTGCAAACTGTGCATTTTCTCAGTGATTACAAAGCATTCTCTGGACAAGGTGGGGGTGGTGATGTCATACTCTTGTCTAATTAGAGAATGCATTGCATTCATTGAGAAAATGAAAAGCATTCTTTGAATGGTGCCATTGCCGGGCAGCCAACCCCAGAAACCAACATGGCAGCTAGTAGAGATCACTGGAGTAGTAGTGTCCACTACTGTGATTTTCAGTTTATAGGGATCCCACAGGTATGGTAAATACATAGTTACTTTGGTCCAAGCTGGAGCAGTGTAACTATGGGAAGAATTCCATACCTTCCATACCTGGAATTCTTCTTAAACTAAGAGTCAAAATATAGAACTAAAGGAACAGAGGATCAACATATATTTAATTTCATTACAAGTAAGTTCATTTCTTAAGTTTTACTATTAAAGCTGAACTTCAGTAAATAATGCAGCTCCGTATTCTTTAGAGGTATTTTGTTTATGCAGTGTATGTACCTGAATTTGACTTGGAATGAGCCTTTTGAAATCCACTCTACATCTGTGCTCAACCCAGGAGAGCAAGAAGTAGCACAAGGCATGCCCTAATACAGCCTTTCTCAACCAGGGTGCCTTGAGGTTTCTGTAGGGATGCCTTGGCAAAATATTTAAAAATTGCCCAAACTTTGTATACAAGTCAGCTGTGGAACAAGCCTGCCTTTTAGTTACACAAAGTCACAGGTTTTCATTGTGCACCATTACGACCTTCTAGCCAACCAATGACAACCAATTACATCATTAGTTGATGAGGATGTCAGCTGCCTGCACAGCAGTTTGACCCTCCCCTGCCCCCTTTCCATCAGTGCTGGGGTCACATTAGCTGAGTGAGGAAGAAGAGAAACATAGGAATACTAGTCAGTACCAGTTAGTGAAAGTGTATTTGCTTTAGAAGAATAAATCACCTCTAATGTTGGGTGTCCTATATGTGTGGATGTTGTTGCGTTATATAAAACTATTAGAATAGTTTTTCCCATTTTAGAACGGGGTGCCCTTTTAAAATTATGGACAGTCTAGAACAGGGGTGGGCAAACTTTTTGACTTGAGGGCCGCAATAGGTTCATATATTGGACCCGGGGGCCGGACCAAGAGTAGATGAATGATGTGTATGTGTCATCCATAGTAAGTATAGTAATATTCCCCCATAGTAAGCATAGTAATTAATCCCCCATATAGTAATTCATTCCCCATAGTAATTCATCCCCCATATAGTAATTCATCCCCCATAGTAATTAATCCCCCATATAGTAATTCATCCCCCATAGTAATTCATCCCCCATATAGTAATTCATCCCCCCTATAGTAATTCATCCCCCATAGTAATTCATCCCCCATAGCCTAGCTCCCCTCACGTTCGTCACGCTGCCCTGCCTACACACATCCTGACAGCCATCCTGACAGTATCACGCTCCACGGGCCTGATTAAAAGGTCTGCTGGGCCGTATACGGCCCGCGGGCCGTAGTTTGCCCATTGCTGGTCGAGAAGCACCCCATTTTAGAATGGGGAGCCTCAAGACTGTCCATAATTTAAAAGGGTGCCTCGGGACTGTCCATAATTTGAAAGGGTGCCTCGGGACTGTCCATAATTTGAAAGGGTGCCTTGACTGAAAAAAAGGCTGAGAAACACTGTCCTAATATATTAAAGTGGTTGTAAAGGCTTTTTTTTAATTGCCTTTAATGTCGCTTTAAGTGGACTATGCTTTTCACTTGTTTTAGGTGTTGATACATTAAATCAGAACTAAAATGTATTATTTTCATACAAACTCTGAAATTGCAAGTTAAACAGAGTGCACACATACATACCTACAAAGCTATTTGTTATGGCTTTCTCCGTTTTCCTATCAAGTTGTCCACAAGACGAAGGCAGGATCAGGGTGGGGATACCTCTATTACACACCTAATAATGACACATAATGAAATTAGTTCCTATGAAGAACTTCCTTTGCGAAAATGATTACACTGAAATAAAAAAAAATATTCCTTCATTTTTTTCTAAGCTCGATTGAACTATTTCATAGGTTTTTGCAGAATTATTTTAACAAGTTTTTGTTTCTATTTTTGTTTTAGCTTATCTGCTAGTACCCTTACCATGTCATCTGGTAGCAGTCGTGGCTCATTGGCATCAAGTCGGGGATCTTTGGCATCAAGTCGAGGGTCTCTTAGCTCCATAAGCTTTACAGACATTTACGGCCTTCCACATTATGAGAAGCCTGAACCACTCTCTGAATTTTCTCAGCATATGCGCTTTGATGTAATTCCATTAGATACTCTTTGCAGAGATGGTCAGTATTCTGAAACATCTGGGCTTCTCAACCTCAGTAAACAGAAAATGTCATTGGATACCCCACAGTCATTAGCCTCTCTGTCATCACGATCTTCATTGTCCTCACTGTCTCCCCCAAGTTCCCCACTGGACACTCCTTTCCTATCCGCATCTCGTGATTCTCCATTAGCCCAAATGTCAGAAGGTCTGGAGGAAATTATAGGGGCTTTGGAAATCCTAAGAGGACATAGTTCCAGTTTGGTTGATGAAGAGACCCAGGGACAATCTTCTCACATGCAAGGCTATCACTCAGAAAGTAAAAGTCTCAGAGAAAGTGAAGCTTCGATTCCAAGTCTTCAGATGAGTGCAGGTATGTTTTTAGTTAGTGTCACAAATGTCCACTTAAGCTCTGGAAAGCTTTACCCGCTTCATGACCAGGCCATTTTTTGCTATTTGGCACTGTGCTACTCTAGCTGGCAATTGCGCAACGCTTTACCCTAATGAAATTTATATCTTTTTTTTTTCACAAATAGAGCTTTCTTTTGGCGGTATTTGATGACCACTGAGTTTTTTTATTACATAAACAAAAAAAAAACAAACATTTTGAAAAAATACAATATTGTTTACTTTTCTGGTATAAAACATATCCAATAAAAAAAACAAAATTTCTTCATAAATTTAGGCTTTCATGTATTCTGATACATGTAAAAAATTCCCAATAAGCATATTTTGATTTGTTTCCATGAAAGTTATAGCGTCTACAAACGATGGTATATATATTGGAATTTTTATTTATTTATTTTTATACTAGTGATGGCGGTGATCGACTTATAGTGGGACTGTGATAGTACAGCGGGCAATCTGATACTAACACTTTGTGGGAACTGGATAACTGACACTGACATCACCAGTGACACTAATACAGTGATCAGTGCTAATAATATACACTGTTACTGTACTAATGAGACTGGCTAGGAAGAGGTTAACATCTAGGGGCTATCAAAGGGTTAACTGTGTGACTATCAATGTGTCAAGTGTGCTGCTTTTACTAAGTAAAGTGACTGTTTTTATTCCGTGCTTTTCAGGGAGAGAAAAAAACAGCCACATTGCTACTCTTGTTTACCAGCACAGAGCTCTTTTCTCTCATTTGCTTGGCTGATCAGCGGATCCCAGCCATAAGCGGGGGGGGGGGGGGGGGGGGGGGCACGCGCGTTCCCTACTTGGAAAGCACGTATGTGATACATGTACCACGTGATACATGTATGTGATCCGGTACAAAAGAGCTGCAGTATATATAAATGAGGTGGTCGGCAAATAGATATTATACTTGTTTGTTCTTGAAGAATGCAGCAGGAAAAAGTGATGACCTTGCTTGGTCTACAGCTGACTACAACAGGAAGTGGCAACAGGAAGTTGTGGGCTAGAGAACTTGTATCGGGGATTTCCGCTATTCTTCTATAGGGATAAAAGAAGTCAACAAGTGATCATCCATCCTGGAAACAAAAAAAAAATGATCCTCCAGCCAACAAGTGACCATTCACCCAACATTTAAGTAGCAGTTTGAAGTATATCTAATGCCAAAAAAGGATTTCCAAGCATCCCCTGTTCTGTTGACAACTCAAAATGTTGGATTTTCCCATCACTATCATACTTTCATTATCAATAACATTGGTTAACAGTATAAAGAAAGATGGTGGACCCCCCCCAACAGGCACACAGGGAGCAATGTAAACCTTACTCTATCCAATTGAAATGGCTTTTACTACTTTAATAATAGTACGTTTTCTAGGGATCACATTAAAGCTTTAAAATTCTTTTTGTCCTAGATTGCATTTAGGATAGTTATTATTTAGTTATTAAATGTATTTATATTGCACAAAAATGTATGCATTGCTTTACATACTGTACATAGAAATCAGTCTCTGCCTTGCAGGAGTTTACAATCTAAGGTCCCTTTCTTGCATACATACACATACATACATATACTAGGGTCAATTTAGACAGGAACCAATTAACCTACCAGCATGTCTTTGGAGAGGAAACCCAAGCAAGCACAGGCAGAACATGCAAACTCCATGCAGATTGTTGGTACTAGTGAGCCAGGTTATCTGAAGATACATATATTACAACCTCATAAAACTTAGGGTCTCCGCTCAATATTCTGTAAGTTCATCTTGTGATTCCTGCAATAAAATGAGTACTCTCTGGGCAGGCGCCCCATCTATACCCCTCCCATTCTGTGGATATGCATAGTGTCCCAAACACTGCACATGTAGCAAAGCCATTAGTAAGCAGGTGAAAGCAGCCTCAGCCAGCTTCATCCAATCATGGACCTCCATGATTAAAGGATAGGTTCACTTTTCCCCAAAAAATTATAAATGCACATTTATTTTAGGTAAAAAAATAAGCATTTACGTATTCATTTATTTATTGTTGTTAGGAACCTGTAAAGCATTGCACCCACGATAAGCAGATTGTGAGTGTAATGCCACGGTCTTGCAGACTGTATATTTGTCTGCCTGTACCTCCAATACGGGGCTGTCAGTTACACTCTGACAAGAAGCTCAATGAACTACTTAGAGCAATCAACAATGCCCTGGAAGTTCATTGAGAACTACAAGCCAACAGCTATAGGCTTACCATTCACAGAACACTGTGAGTTAATGACGCTGCCGAGCGGACAGAAGATCCCCCACTAAATGCTAGGGGGTGGGGGCCAATGCATTTGTGACTTTTTTCTATGCATATCCACAGTATGTTATACTTATTTTTTGTAACCCCAATTAAGATAGCCACTTTAGGGTATTTCCAATCATTCATCAAATATGAGTGCATCATAGAGCATACTGTATGTGTATCAATGATCAAATGTTTTTACATAAATCGGTTGTTCAGCCAGGTTTAAAAAAAATCAACTTAGCAACTGCAGATACCATAGCTGCTGACTGTTAAAGTGTTACTAAACGCACAACAGTAAAATCAGTGTATATATGCAGTAAAATATGCTTGATATACTCATTGTGGAACCTAAGGGGTTAATCCTCTGCATTGTGTAAAAAGGCTGACTTCTCTGGTCCTCCCCTTCTTCCAGTGTCCCCCTCTCATCTTCTGATAAGACATATCGTGCAGTTTCACTCTGCACATGCTCAGTTTGGTGTGTATTGCTAGAGAGTTTTTTTTTTTTTGGGAGAGTGCATGTGATCAGCATAGAACCAATCAGCACTGTCCAGACAGAGGTCAGAGATTCTTCATCCTCCCAGAGCAGAAAGAAAACTCCTCCTACAAGCTTTAACATGTGCTCTGCTGGACATTGTTAGAAGTCACAAGACTGCTCTAACTGCTGATGAGAAAAGATAATTAGCATTTTATATTTAGTAAAATAATTTAATTTCCATGGTGAATGCAGGGTCCTGGTTTTAGTAACACTTTAAAGGACACTTCCCTGCCCAGGGATCCAGTACTATCCTCATGCTCATTGGTTCTTTGTCAGTCTTCGGGTGCCTGGCGGCAGCATGTTTATTTTGGGAGGCCGGCTGCATCACCTTGCGGCTTCACAGCCTTCATTCCACTGCACATGCACAAGCTGAACTGCACTTTATGAATGGTCCTGTGACGTGTCCCAGAAGTCTTTAGGGCAAAAGGGGGAGGGGGAACGTCCACTGGCACTCCTACAAAGGTATCCTAACCACAAGTCACTCTCTAGTTCTGCTTTATCAATGCATCCTATACAGGGGCAGACTGACAACTCATGGGGCCCCTGGGCAATAGGGGATCATGGGGCACCTGTGTCCTTACCCAAACTCAAAAAAGCCTATGAAAAAGGTACCAGGGGCATCACATGGGGCCCCCTACTGACCCCAGACCCTCGGGCAGTGCCCGAATTTTTAAATGGTCAGTCCGCCCCTGGTCCTATATCATATACAGTAATACAATATAACATACAGTGCATATTTCCTTTGGAGAGGAAACACAAAAAGAAATTATTGGTGCAATATTAAATACTCATTTAGCGAGATGAGGGATGTTGTCCTTGTATCAATTAAGTCCACTGGGAACTATTTTTGCCAAAACCTAGGTAAATAAAACATTGTGTTGACTTTTAACTCCCTAGACTAGAGTATTATCCTTTAAATATCTTAAGTGGGAAAAATAGGACAATGCAGCTAAAAGATCTGGATACCAAGGAACACCAGTGAAACTAGAAAGACAATTCATTCTTGTATTGGATACAGTGCTATTTACAGTGGTATGTGACAGTAGTGCTATTGTTATTTTATCTGCACAGCCTATTCCTGTTATGTAAGTTTAGTGTGGAGAGTGCAGCAGTGCTGCATTCCATCAGTGCTCCTTTGTTAATACAGTCAAATCCTGTGTTTATGCACCTGTTTTCTTTTCTATGTATATACGCCTTATCAGTTAGTTAAACATCACAATATTTTATCATCTTTTTATATTACAAGCAGAATTGGAGTCCACATTTATTTAGGGAGATAATATGATTTGAAGGTAGTATGCTGCCACCTAGTGCTTGATAGTAGGAAATAGTATATTGGTCAACAGAAATTTGTATTTGTTCAGTGAGCCATACTGTATAGTGTCATTGCATACCATGTGTTAGCGTATATGCTTTTGATATTTTTGTTATATGGCAGTAAGTAGTAGAAACCCCTTAGTTGTGTGGAAAAGAGAAAGAAGGGGGTTGCATCCCGTAGTGTTTGTTTTATGATTTGAAAAATGGCTGGAGAAGAAGATGAACAGTGGGGTGAAATAAATTCTACTCCAGTTAAGTAGATGTGAATGGACGTAGGGAATGGTTTAAACCCTTATTAGTGTTGCCATCTGTGTTCCATTCAGAAGATTTTTTATTACTTCCTGTCCTGGAGACACATGAGAGAGAAAACCTTTCCAAAGAAAGGTAAATCGCCTCTTATCCCCATTGGAGAATGTCCCCTTTATTGCCGTTCTAGTGACAACTCAGAATTTGAGATTTTCCTACACTGCAGTTACAATTACAATGGTCACCAAGATAAACAGAGAGAGTGTATCGCCCTAGTGGGGACACAGCAGATATAAATACATGACAATACATACATAAAATGCACTTTAACCGACTTTTTGTGTATTCATCTCTCCTACATCAGGTTCCAAACCTGTTCCAAATCTGTTCCAAAGACTGATCTTGTCAAGGTATACTGCAAGCAGCATGGCGTATATTTTTATGAACAATAGAGGAACATTACGCAAGTCATTTCCTACCATTGATGTAAAACAAAACAATTTCACTGTCACTTTTTTTTATTACAGGCATTACAATCCATGAAGACTGTGCAATAAAACTAGAGAGAACCAAAGGAGTCTCTGCTGGTTTATCAGATGACTCTCTTGCAAGTGACAGTGGCGTTTTTGAAGCCTTAAGTAAAAGGTACTATACATGTTCATGAGTCCAAACTTAAACTGTGAAGACATTGAAGTCCTATTTATAAAGCTGACAACTGTATTTTCTGAATTTGCCAAACTATTTTCTAAAGTGTTTATAAAACCAAAGTCTGATGAATTTTGTTCGGTGCTGAACTTCTGAATTTTTTTAAACTGCTTTAAATGGAACTGGAGCAAAATTTGTAAATTTGAGATTAGTAGAAACAAATCACTTGCATTGCATGTAATTATATATTGTTTGTACAATGCTCCATTAATCATGGATTTTTTTTTATCAATTACATAATCACTGCTATATACACTCACTGGCCTCTTTATTAAGTGCACCTGTTCAATTGCTTGGTAACAGAACTTGCTAAGCAGCCAATCACATGGCAGCAATTTAATGCATTTAGGCATCTAGACGAGGTGAAGATGACTTGCTGAAGTTTAAACCGAGCATGGGAAGAAAGGGAATTTAAATTACTTTGAACGTGGCATGGTAGTTGGTGCCAGACGGGCTGGTCTGAGTACTTAAAAAACTGCTGATCTACTGCGATTTTCCTGCACAACCATCTCTAGGGTTTACAGAGAATGGTCCAAAAAAGAAAAAATTTCCAGTGAGTGCCAGTTGTGTGGACAAAAATGCCTTGGTCAGAGGAGAATGGGCAGACTGGTTCGTGAGGATAGAAAGGCAACAGTAACTCAAATAACTAGTCGTTACAACCAAGGTATGCAGAATACCATCTCTGAACGCACAACACGTCGCACCTTGAAGCAGATGGGCTACAGCAGCAAAAGACCACACCGAGTGCCACTCCTGTCAGCTAAGAACAGGAAACAGGCTACAATTCGCACAGGCTCACCAAAATTGGACAACAAAAAATTGGAATAATTGTTGCCTGGTCTGATGAGTCTCGATTCCAGCTGCAACATTAAGATGGTAAGGTCAGAGTTTGGCGTAAACAGCATGAAAGCCTTTCCTTCCTTGTATCAACGGTTCAGGCTAGTGGTGTAATGGTGTGGTGGATATTTTCTTGGCACACCTTTGGCCCGTTAGTACCAATTGAGCATCTTTTAAATGCCATGGCCTACCTGAGTATTGTTGCTGACCATGTCCATCCCTTTATGACTACAGTGTACCCATCTTCTGACTGCTACTTCCAGCAGGATAATGTACCATGTCACAAAGCTCAAATCATCTCATACTGCTTTCTTGAACATGACAATGAGTTCACTGTACTCCAATAGCCTCCACAGTCACCAGATCTCAATCCAATAGAACACCTTTGGACTCAGCAGACTTGCATCATGGATGTGCAGCCGACAAATCTGCAGCAGCTGCATGATGCTATCATGTCAATATGGACCAAAATCTCTGAGGAATATTTCCAACAACTTGTTGAATGTATGCCATGAACTCGGTACTAGCAAGGTGTACCTAATAAAGTGGCTGGTGAGTATAGTTACATAGTTAGTCAGGCTGAAAAAATACACCAGTCCATCTACTTCAAACAATAGAAAAAAAATAAATAGAATAAACACATAGAGGAAAAAAAAACATCTATAAAGCTTATCCCCAAAAGGCAATTGGGTATTCCCTGGATCAACAATCTCTGGTGTTATTACCTATAATTGTTATAATCCAGTTATATTTTGTACATTTAGGAATGTTCTTTTTTAAAACAATTTACTGTGCTGGCCAGAACTAGTTCTACTGGGAGTTTATTCCACATTTAAATCTCTTATCCTCCAAACGTAAAGAGTTCCCGTGCTCCCTTGTCTTTTACAGTGAATAACTCTATTCCAAGTTTACTATATGGACCACTTTTGTATTTATACATGTTGATCATATCCCCCCTTAATCACTTCTTAAGAGAGAATAAATTCAGTTCAGCTAATCTTTCCTCAATGCTGAGCTCCTCCATGCCTCTTATCAGTTTGGTTGCCCTTTTCTGTACTTTCTCCACTTCCCCAATATCCTTTTTCTGAACTGGTGCCCAAAACTGAACATTCCAGATGAGATCTCATTAATGCTTTATACTGGGACAAAATGAGTTCTATACCCTCTTTATACAAGAAAGTATTTTGCTTCCTTTTAGAAACTGCAGCTTGGTATTGCATGCTGTGTCTTAATCATTTGATTAAGCACAAGATCGTGTGAAATGCGTTAACAGGTCCTGTATTCATCTCCTGATGTTTTGTGTGTCCTATGGATCAATAAATACACACTATATTCATCTATCCTCCAGTGTGCGGCTGACCCTTTTTCCTATTGTATCTGGGGCTCCAGTACGGATGTTTAAACTGGTCATAGATGGACAGAAATCTGAAAATTTTAAAGAAAAAGTATTTCCAGAACGATCAATCCCTCTAATAATTAATGTACTTGTTATGTTTTTGACCAAATAGCCAAGAAAATTTGATGTTGGAAAATTTAGCTAATTTCTTATCTGAAAGAACACATTTCTAATTGTGAATATAATAATAGATAAAAAAAAATTAGTTTAACTGTATTGCGCATTACCCTCCTTTTCTGTTCTGCATACGATTTTTTAAAATCTGTTTCCCTGTTATAGATTTTCCCACACTTCCTGCCTGGTAAACCGTTGTTTGTAAGAGTGCCACATAGCAGTAAAAGCCTGACAGGAGTTCTTTCCCCATTCTATCAAAACTAGAAAAACATGTTTTTGATGTGACATGCACTCTAGCTTTTAGGCTCCATTCACATTAGGGCACATGATTTTGCCCACGATTTGGAAACGCGGTGTGACAATGTGAAAATGCAATCGCATTTGGGTGCCATTTATTTCAATGGCACCTGAAAGTGCAGGGCGTGTTTGCCCTGATCGCGTCGCATTTTTCCGCACAAAAAAATGCTCTGTGATCACACAAACAAAATTGCGGGGCGATTGTGGCGCATTTGTCACGCAGAAAAACGCACCGCAATCGTGGCAAAAACACCTCCAATTTTCAGGTGCCATTAAAATGAATGGCACCTCCAAACGCTACTGCGCGTTTTCACATTGTCACACCACATTTTCAGACCGCGGACAGAATCGTGGTGATTCTGCCCGTCATTTGAAACACCCTATTGTGAATGAAGTCTTAAACGTTAGGCCAGTGCCTTTCATGGGCCACAGTGCTGTGGCAAAAATAGGAGGGAGCTTTTTTATGAAACGCTATAGTCATTGCCAGCTTCCACCCCCGCGTGTGAACCTCCACCCCGCTCACCAAGTGTCCCTGGCTTCGCTTGCCCGTCTGCGGGCCCGGGACTGGCTCCATGTGCCCGGCATCTAGAGGGGAGGGAGGAGAGCGAACATGTTTGCTCCCCTCCCCTTCTTGTCCTAACTCAAAAGTGACGTTTGACGTTACTTCCAGGTTCCCATTCACAGATTCCCGCCCATTGAGGCCGGGAAAGAATGTAATGCAGTGTGATGTACACTGCATTACATTCAGGGGAGCACAGGAGAGACATGCAGGGTCTTTTAGACTATGCATGTCTCATTAAAGAGAACCTGTCATCAAAAAAATGTCACCTAGGGACTTTGTCCCCTATGTGATGAAAAAAAAAGTTAAGTAGGAAAAAAAAAGTTAAGTAGGAAAAAAAAATTTTTAATAGTAAAAAAATCAAAGTTGCACCCAAGCACATAACATCCCCCGAAAAAAAAAAATTGAGACCCCACCCTTACATATACGCACGTTCAAAAGTAAAAGCACACACCGGGGCGCCCACGTATGAAAATAACGATTGCAATACACATGTTACATATCGCCTCACGCCAGAATAAGAGCAATAATTCTAGCACCAGACCTCTTCTGCACGCTAAACCGATGACCTATAAGGGTCTTTAAATGGGTCGCCTATAAAAAATATAGGGTACTGAAGTTTGTCGCCATTTCACGAGCGCACGCAAATTTAATGTTTGACATCTATTTACTCGGTGGAACCTCATATTTTACAAAAAAATAGGGTCATTTATTGCTTTTTTGTGCCCTAAAATTAATTTTGCGGTAATATCATGCGAAATAAAAAATAGCAACTACCACTATTTTATTCTCTAGGCTCTCTGATTTCAGAAAATATATCATGTTTGGGGGTTTTGTGTAATCGTCAAGCCTAAAATTATTTTTTAAACGTGTGCAAAAAACGCAATAACGGCTCTAGCAGCAAAAGGGATAAAGGATAAGCCCGACACTTCTCTTTCCTGGCAAGCACCCAATCGGTGCTCATTACACTACAAGGTCTCTCCCCTCCCTGCTAGTCTCTGGGTGTGGGGCTGGAGACAGCCATTGAGCCCCTTTTGTTTTTAAAAGTCCCAGACATTCCTAACAGTTTTGGTTAAAACTGCTTTTTTTTTTTTTTTTTTATCAGTACAAGTAGATTGCCATTAGTGACAAGTAGATTGGGATCCCAATTTAGTCCCTGGACAAGTAGTTTTTTTAAAAAATTTCCACACCCCTGGGCACTGTACAAAATTATGAAATCTTCACTTTTTGAATTCAGGTCTACTTTAAATTATCTTCATAAAACAGGACACTTTTTATATTAGAACATTCCAAGCACAAAATGGAATGATCCTTCCTTGTCTCTTTTTTCTTTTCCCTTATAAAGGAATGAGAATGTCGAAGATTCTGTCTGTAAAGAGTCTGAAAAAAGGGAGGAACCTCAAGTTCATGTTGGAGTAGTGTAAGTGACTTGAATGGTTAATGTAAACCAAAGAAAACATTGAAAATTACATTTTGAGATGCATACAGAGAGTCTAGCCCAGTAGCTCTTGACTTGTTTTTAATTAAGGTATTGGTGTAGCAAACTAGCAAACGTAAAACAAAAGTAGATGAGGATAACACTGCACCTATAACTCACAGTTTATATACTGTCTGTGATTTCTCCAAATGCATATCCTCTTGCTCCAGTGATTGGTTAATTTTCCCTGCCGTGCAGCACCACTGCAATGGAGCATTTTTCCTTTCCCTGAAGATGGGCTTTACTTTGACCCCAACCCTCCCCCACCGACGCCACTTTACATGGTTTTCTTGGGCTCTTTCGTCCCATCGAGGAACCCGAGAATGCCAGCCAGCAGTTCCGTTGGCTGACCATAGAGCTGATTGGAGACTGGAATGCCTCCAATCATCTCTATGGTCTAAGAGACCAGAAGCTCCAGGCATTTCATCATTTCGGTTTCGCCAGATATAAACCACCGTTTTAAAATTGGGAAAAGCATCTGATCACACCGATCTTGGTGTGATCAGATGCTTTAGGGGTAGAGGAAAGATCTAGAGTCTAATAGACTCCAGATTTTTCTCAGAGAAGAGTACCTACCACTGGAAAAAGGGGAGGATCAGAGAAGTCAAGATCAAACAGCTTTTTTACACAATGCAGAGGATTAACCCCTTAGGGTCCACAGTAAGTATATCAAGCTTGCTTTAATGCATATACAGACTGATTTTACTATTGTGGGTTTAGTAACACTTTAAGTGACAGCTTTGTGTAAAAAAAACACAAAAAAAAAATTAATTTTCCAAAAATTTATGGCAAAAAATAAAATCTTCCATGGACTCAACGTGCCTCTCAGCAAATTCCTTGGGGTGTCTACTGTTCAAAAAGTGATCATTTGGGGGGGGGTTGTACTGCCCAGGCATCTTAGCACCTCAAGAAATGTGATAGGCAGTCAGAAAGTAAAAGCTGCGTAAATGCCAATATATATACCATAGTTTGTAAACGCCATAAATTTCACACAAACAAATTAATATACACGTACTGGGATTTCTTTTTTACCAAAGAAGAATACATTTTGGTCTAAATTTATGATGAACATTGATTTTACTGGATATTTTTTATAACCAAAAGTAGAAAATATTGGGGGGGGGGGTGTTTCAAATTTTTCAGTCTTTTTTTCATTTTTATCACAAAACTTAAAAAAAAACTGGTGATCAAATACCACCAAAAGAAAGCTCTGTTTGTGTGAGAAAAAGTACATACATTTCGTTTGGGTACAGCATTGCATGACTGTGCAATTAATTACAGCCTTTTAAAATACACATATCAAAGGCTGTTTTTCAATGCCAGAAGGCAGTGGGCAAGAGATCTGACATCACTCACTGGACAGCATAGAGCAGAAGCTGGGTGTAATGTGAGACCTGAGTGGAGGGAATGGACATAGTCTAAAAAGGAAGCATGCACAGCAGCGGTTGTAAGTCACCTGCTGTGTGCTGGAGGAAAGCCAGGGCCATCCCCCAGGAAGAGACTCATGCAGATAGCAGAGGGAAGAGAAACCAGACCGAAATCAAACTAGGTGCATTAGATTGAGGCAAGTACACACTATAGAGGGATAAGCTTTGTTTTTTTCAGAGGTTTACAACCAGTTTTACCACCCAAGCCCTGCAAGCCTTAGACCAGGGTGTGGGCAAACGTTTTGACTTGAGGGCCGCAATGGGTTCATATATTGGACCCGGGGGCCGGACCAAGAGTAGATGAATGATGTGTATGTGTCATCCATAGTAAGTATAGTAATATTCCCCCATAGTAAGCATAGTAATTAATCCCCCATATAGTAATTCATCCCCCATAGTAATTCATCCCCCATAGTAATTAATCCCCCATATAGTATTTCATTCCCCATAGTAATTCATCCCCCATAGTAATTAATCCCCCATATAGTAATTCATCCCCCATAGTAATTAATCCCCCATAGTAATTAATCCCCCATATAGTAATTCATCCCCCATAGTAATTCATCCCCCATAGTAATTAATCCCCCATATAGTAATTCATCCCCCATAGTAATTAATCCCCCATATAGTAATTCATCCCCCATAGTAATTCATCCCCCATATAGTAATTCATCCCCCATAGTAATTCATTCACTTACCTTTGCTCCGCGCGTTCCTCTCGCCGTGTTCCCGCGCCGTTCCGGTCTTCAGGGTGGACTGTGAGAGGAGCCTAGCTCCCCTCACGTTCGTCACGCTGCCCCGCCTACACACATCCTGACAGCCATCCTGACAGTATCACGCTCCACGGGCCGGATTAAAAGGTCCGCCGGGCCGTATACGGCCCGCGGGCCGTAGTTTGCCCATTGCTGCCTTAGACAGTGTTCAAATCGAGTTCACAACTGATAATGGGATCTACCAACACAGTACCGACGGAGGGACCAAAAAAGAGAAAGTAAGGGGCTGCTCTGCAAAATTCTTGCACAGAACAAGTGAGTGAAAAATCTCTTTTTATTTTAGGGAAAAAAACAGTGACTTTAACATCACTTTAACATTAAATAAAAGAGGAAATCTAGGTAGGAGTATTAGGCAAGTGAAAAGGTAAGCAGAATTTTTTTAATTTTTTTTTTTAAGTTATTCTATGTGAATGGGAGCACATAACCAATATAAAGTAGGCATTATCCCAGTCTGGATGTAATAGTGGAAATACACACTAAGCACTGTGATGTAAATTTGTGCACATTGCACATTTAGTATGTGTCAAACTGTTGCTCCATCATAATTCTGTTTGTCTGAATATATTACCTTTAATACTGTATATGGGTGTTTATTTACAATATGTGTTTTATTACAGGTATGATTGTGGAAGTGAATGTCTTTTTGTACATGTTTTGCAACTTAAACATTTTAATGGCCTCACTCTCAAGCAAGGATGCAAAATGTAAGTATAAAGAAATTGGTAAAAAAATATACAGTTACAGAGAAAAATAGGTTCCAAGATTTTATGAAGGTGTAAATTTGCTTCCATAGTTGACTTACTTACATTATTTATCTTTTTCCAGAGTTCTTCTTACTAGCCTTTCTTAGGTGTTCTATTTCTCTCACAATATACAATGGGTTGAGAACTAGTGACAGCAGATAGGTTTGATGCCCTTGTGGGTGTGACGAAGAAGGATCTTAGAATTAGATCTTATATATTCCTTGGGCTTGTTAATGTAAACATATTTAATATGCATCTAGTACAGACAATTTGGCTTTTAAACACCTTATAGGGCCGATATTAAGCAGGTAATGGCTATATATGACATCCAACAGACTAGAAAATATGCTAGATATGTGAGTTTTCCTGATTTTTGACCATCCACAACTCTGCCTGAAGCTATATCAGCAACTTTGGGTTCGTTCACACTTGACTTATTTCTAACTCTTGCCAAACGCCCCTATAGTGTTTGACAGGCATTTGGGAAGCGTTTTTAACGCTCCTCAAATGCTCCCCAAACTCCCTATGCGTGTTTTTGAGGCATTTGATAGGCGTTTGCCAAGCGTTAAAACCGCACCACAAATGCCTATAATGAAGTTAAATGGTATTAAGGGTCCGCAAAACACCCCGCAAACGCCTGCCAGGCGTTTGAGGAGTTGCACCATAGACTTGAATGGGAGGCTTCAACTCCTCCTGACTGGACATGAGGCGTCAGTTTTGCCGTGACGCTAACGCTTCAGTGTGAACAGCACTGTGTGCTGCCATGTGCAGAATTTTCATAGGCATTTGAGAAGTGTTAAAAATGCTTCCCAAATGCCTGTCTGATGCCTGCTGACAAAGCTAGTGTGAACGTAGCCTAAGTTGCAAAATATCATCCAAACTGACATCTTCTCTCCTCCCAAGATTCTCTGCTCTCTATCTCCATCTACGCCTCTTCCCAGGTTCACCTCCATGAGCATCTCCCATTTTCTGGAACTCCCTGTTCTAATTTCTTTGGCTATCGCTGCTCCTTTCACTTTTAGACGATACCTTCAAACTCATCTCTTCAACAAAGCCTATTCCACTTCTCACATCCCGAAAAACTGGAATTATCTTTCTCAATCAACTCATTCTGTCATAATTATTACCTTTTATATTACTTGTCCCCCATCCCCCGCCCTCCCAACACTCTTGTTTTGTATTGTAATTTTTGACACTACTAATTCTGTATCATATTAATACCAGTGTATCCCAATACTGTATATACTTACCAATGTACTTTTGTACATATATTACAGTCAAATTAGAGTCTACCTGCCCTCCCTTGAATCCACTACACCAAGCACTTACTGTTCAAAAGCTCTGGAGTTTCAGATGCCAATGATGTTTAATGAAATATTCCAAATACCCATGCAAGCCACTGAACTGAATCTGAGTTCTCTACAGCTGTACATATGTTCTGTACTCCCTGACAAGCAGGAGGAGCTAATGGTAAGTGAATACTGCCTTACAATACCTTCATACATATATGTTAAACTGAAAGATTCTAAGTAATATTCCTCTGAAGCAAAAAAACTGTTCTTCCTTCAGACACTTTCATAACTTAGGACTTCCATGTTTTCCGTTGGTAGTATGTTTATTGAAATTTTGTCTGAAAAGGGATAAAATAACATTGTCAATTAATAAGCAACTATAAATCATGTCTATTTCCTCATGCAGGTGGTGGAATACATTTAGCAATGGTAAACAAGAAAATATGTGTAAAAACTGAATGGATCGCAATAGTAGATTTATAGAATTTGGGAAACGTAAAACTGGATTTAATTAAAGATTAATTTAATAATCTTAATATGAGCGAGGATCTAAATAAATAAGTACAAACATTTACAGTTTGTGAAGGCAAAAATGGAAGAAAATGGGAGGCAGGAAGTAGAACAGGTATATTTGATTAGTGCTGGTGAATACACACCAGTGATGCTGATCCAGAGTTGGAGTCCCGGCTCAGCTCACTACTGATAGCATTAGAAGAAGATCTGGACAGCTGCAAATCCTAAGAATCACCTTCATTCTTAAATAAGATGAAACAGCAACACAGACATTAGGCAGAGGGAGCTGGGCAAGAGGCCAATATGTTTCACGCTTTACCAGCTCTTAGTCATAGTAAGTTATGACTGTCCTGGTCTTCTTCTAAGTATATTGGAAGCAGCTCCACCATAAGAAACTATTTAAACATTTATATTTAAATTGCAGTTGCTCTTTAATGTCATGTTGTGAGGGGCATTAGTCTGGGATTAGGTTTTATTATATAATCTTTCTGAATGGTTCAAGCAGTGACAGAGTTTCTTATTATCACAGGGAATTGCTCAGATCAGCTTGACTGACTATGAAGGTGCAAAAGAGATGCATCTTCAGTGGTATCCTGTTGAGATCTACAGTAGTGCCGAGCCTCAGAAAGCTAGTGGTGATGGACGTGGCTATATTCGAACATCTGAAATCACTAACAAAACAAAAACAGTAAGTGCTGATCTCTAAACTTCTTTGAGAACTGAGTATTCTACTGTAGTGGTACATCACAGTGAATAGTACCAAGTAACCCATGGTACATTGTATGTAATACCAATAACACCTTTGTTTTAGGAACAAAAGAAAGACCAAATTGCTGTTGTGGTGTTAAAGTGTGTAATAGCATCATGCAATTTTCCACAGCCAACTGTTGTCCCTGCAAGGCTAATTTGCCTGGAGTATGATATTCTTTATCAATCATCCCCAAATCTCTTCACAATGGTAAAATACATTACTCCAGAGGAACAGGGGGATTAAATCGGTGCCAGGCTGACTTGCAGTAAATAATGGCAACCCAGACACAGGGACAAACTTTCCATCACAGTTAGAAGAGGGGTTCAATTACACAATTTAATAAAAAGTACAGTTATCTTTTATTATACCTTGGTTATTATAATAAAAAGTTGAAAGGTAGGAAGCTCCCCTGCAAACAGCAGACTAATTCACCTTTCACATCAGAGGACTGGTAAACTGCAGGATATTACATTTTGGTACATAGGTTTGGATACACTTTATGGTTTTTTTGTTTAATTTGAGATCAGTACATGATCATTCTGAGGTCAGTTTAGGTTACAATTTTTAGATGTTTTTATATACAATTAAAGAAATATTTTCGCTAAATTCACTTTTTGAATTTGCCACTTTGCTTAGGATGCTGTGTCAGTTTTACTAGCTCGAACAACAGCTCAGCTAGAAGCAGTTGAGCGTGAACTAGAGGTGGAGAGAGTGAAGCTGGAGTATACTGAGGAAGAGATACTAGAGATGGAATGCAAAGAAGACAAAGTGGAGGCAACCTCAGAGAGGTACATGTGACATCTGGAAACACTAAAGAAAAGAACAAATATCTATCTTAAAGTAAATAATTTTAAATAGACTTGTCATAAACAAGGACAATCAAACCTGAACATAGGATGAAAAAAATGCAAAAACAAAAAGGATACTGTATCTCCAGTGTAAACTGTACTCAGTAAATTCAGAGATGTAGGAAGTCACGGTGAGGTTTGGCTTTGCCACTGCCATTGGTTTGTAGCAAATCATGTGGGTTTGAAATTTACAGTCCTGGCAAGGTTTTTTTATTTTAAACCATAATGCACTGAATTGTTTTTCAACTAGTGGCAGCAGGATTATAAAGGCCAGTGATGGGGTTTTTAGGTCACCAACTCTCTATTAAGGTGGTTGGTGGAGGGGGACATCATCCTGCTGCTGCTTCTGGTCCTGCTTTTGAAGCACCACATGGATCTCTGGTCTCTTGCACTGCCCACCTACACTGTCTCAGTCACTTTCATCTGCATCATGCCCTCATCAGCAGCAGCTGCCCAGGTTTGTGAGTACCTAAGGCCTTTCTTTACTTAGTTACATTACAGCGGATGCAACATGTCTTCACTAAGATACACAGAAGAGAATCCCGTAGTATGGTTGACTTTAGCCCACATTCCAGCATCCTGATTTCAGTTATGATACAACCTCTCTATCTGTCCACCTACAAGGTACTTGGTGTGGCCAGTCTCTGGGTGGATTCCAAACCTGATTTAAGCCAGCCAAGCCTGCAGTCTCATGCTTGTGATATTGCGCAATGTCCTTGTGTCTCTTTCGATCAATTGACCATGTCAACCGTGCTTTTGCTTTTCAGACAATGTGTTCTGGAAACTGTATATGTCATCATAACCTTTGACACTGTGCCTCATAATACGTTAAATAAATTGGCAACTTCATTAACAGAGGAACCAGCTAAGCAGGCACCAAACATTTGCACTATTTGTTGCTCAGCAAGCTCTGACAGGACTCTGTATTAATAGCAACGCAAGCAGTGAATGACAAAAGTGAGGCTTCCCACCTATTAGCTATGTGTCTCATCACACAGCCGAAGGAAAAGAGTGTTACATCACTTCAGCTTCGAACTGGAATCATGGCGTCACTTTCACACCTGCAAATCATGTAGTGTTTCCATTTTTTTGTTTGCAGAGTCTCTAAGCATGCTTCGGCACCATCCTGAGCCTACAGAACATCTCAACTCTGTGGACTCGTGGCTCTTCTCACTGTCTCTTATTAAAATTCAGAACCTCAGAAGTCTACCTCTGGTGAGGTGTGCTGTGTTTGGGTCCCTGCAATCTCTTAAAGTGAATCCAGATTTGCATGGGTACAAACAAATGGCAACCACTCCAACTTATAACTGTCCTTTGCAGCAAGGAGCACATAGAAGGGCAACGCATGTCAAAAAAAACAACAAACAAAAATTCCCAGCTCACTTACCAGTCAGCCTGCAACAAACTGAATCACCCTAATAGTTCACATTAAAACAAGGAGTTTCGTTTGCACACGTTTTCAAATATATGCGTAAGAAGGTTTGCATTGGGTTGCTTCAAACCTTATAGATGCAGTGCATACTACCCTGCATCTAGAGGATCTGTCTGTGTTGTCCAAGGAAAAAACCCCTGTTTTTAAACACATGTTCTTAGACAGGTTAATTTGGTTTTTGATAGTTGGCTAACTGGCTGGCAGTTTGAACTGGCTTTCTTATCCCCCTCTTTTGATAAGTTATACTTATCCATGTTCCTTGCCGACAATAGCCATTATTAGACTGGGGTAGGCTGGCAAGTTGAACTGGATAGTCCTATTTTTTACTTTGTGTTGTTCAAGGCCTTTTTGAGCTCCCAAAACAGCAAAGATCTTTCCACTAAATCTACTATTTTACTGCTTCCTCTATGAGAATTGAAAACACCCTGAAGGTACCTGGGCTTCATCTGAGATTGTGTCACAACATTTCCCTTTGAAGGGGAGCTTATTAATCGATGATCTTTTCCACCATAGATACATGTGTGATCCACCTGAAAAGGCAGACCGCCATGAGGGTGGACGCTATGCTCTCCTTTAAGGATGTCACTGACAGGCAGTTGAACTCCCTTTTAAAGTCCCACATTGAAATAACTGATGTGGCTTTCTATCCTGTATTGGCAAAAACTTTAATATGTCAAACTGTGAATGTGTTGATTCCCATAAAGTGAATCCCACTATCTCTGGGGTAGGACCACTTTTATTGGAGAAGCTAGAGCAAATGTATGGAGCTCTAGCCAACCCTTATAGCTAACAAACTAAGCTCTTGTGTCTGGCATCTTTGCCAGCTACTCCTCATCCATTTTCTGGAGTTACTGCACTTAGTAGAGTCCCTTTCTAGGACTATCTGGGTCAACCAATCCCTGTACACTGTTTAGTACCTATGGATTCACACTCCTCCCTTTAGGAGTGTTCTGTTACTTTGGATTCAGTTGCAGCTCTCAGGGTGCCCCAACTTTTTCTTTCCTTGAGGAACCCACCTACCCAAACACCCTCTGGAACAAGTGGTTATACCAGGATCAGGGCTGTAGCTGCAGTCCCAATCCTGCTATCAAAATTTGCAGCAATGAGCTTTCATGTAAAAGTGAGTGGGCTCTACAGCCACTCAGTCACTTTTATAGGGCATGGAAGCCACCCCCACCCCTAACCTGCTGTCAGTCTGTTCTGTTCCACTTGGGAGCCTGGGACTGCCACACTTAGCGAGGCCTGATGCAGACAGAGGAGAAGGAGGAGCGTCCATCCCTACCTCTGTGACAAATTAAGCAGGTATTACATCACTTCCGGTTTCAGTTGTTTGTTTACTGGCCTGTACTGGCCAAACAGGCATCCAATCAAACCGATGGCTGCTTTGGAGGACGGAGATGAAATCTCTCAATAAAGAGTATCTGTCACTACAAGAAATGTCCTAAAATGTCTCTTTCCACTTTTTGCTTCTTTCTCCTCATCTTCCTTTTTTTTTTTTCTTATTCTTTCAGGCTGTTCCGTAGGGACAATTTGTTCTTATGTACTCCTTTGCTTTGTTTTTGTATTTTTTTATACATTGGTCTCTCATCCACCAATACCTGATTCCATGGTACAGGTGTAGGAAATGGTCTCCTATTGCCCGTAATGTTCTTGTTTTAACTTGATTAATGTGTCTTTTCACATATCAACCATTGTTATTTGTCATAGTTTTTTGTTAGCGGTAAGACTTTTATTTATAAACATGACAGTGGTCACAAACTGTATCCATTTAACATTTTTCAATAAAAATGTATTGAAAGGAAAGAGTACCTGTCACTGTGCATACTTTCACAAGGGATGTTGTTCATCTCTTGTGATAGTAAAAAGCTGAAAAATGAGAAACAGTGTAAAATTATACATTTAAATAAAATAAATAATAATAATATTGAAAACAAAACTTAAAGCACCCCCATTATTTGCCTCTATGCTCACACACAAATTGGAATGTGCACCTAGATCCTGCACACATATGAGGTATTGCTGTGAACGTCAGAGGGAGATCAAACCGTAAACTGGTAATCTGTGAAGGCTGTTAAGCCTTTGGAGATTTTTAGGCACCGTAGTTGGTCACCATTTCACAGGCATGTGAAATTTGAAATCCTGACATGTTTAATTTCTATTTACTTGGCACAACATTATCTTTTATAGTTTAACAATAAATTGGGTATTATATTGTGTTTGTGTGCACTAAAATCCATTTAAAGGAGAAATACAGTCAAAACTCTTTTGCCTGTACTTCTGTGGCTCACAGGAGTGCAGTTCGTTCTGCACTCTTGTGACCTGTTTTCAGCCAACAGTGGACCGAAGCCCCCTGTCTGCTGATGTCACTCAGCTGGTCCAGGCTAAGGAAAGATCCCAACTTCGGGATCCACCCCAGAGTCTGGAGTGGCACCTGGCTCAGATGACTGTTCACTGTCAGGCCAGGTTACTTTTCTTAAATTATTGATTAAAATTCCTCAGGTCATATTCCCCCAATGGAGCCTCCTCTTTTTTGCTGCCTCTCAGTCTTTTTCTGCTTCCCCTCCTTTGTCTTGCAACCCAGACTCAAGGCATGATGTCTGAAACTTAAATTCAGTCTCTTGAGCTGAATGGGGTGCTTTCCATGCTCTGAAAGGACTTCAATTATTGTTCTGTCGCTATATCTGGTATCCCAGAACAAATAATTGCTGTTTTATCTGTATCCTTCTGAGACTCAATACTCTGACCTGGTCTTTGCTAAAAATAACTATGTTGCTGGCTCTTCACTGGTCAGGGAGATTTCCTTGTGACAGGTCCAGTGCCCTAGTCCCTTCTTCTTGACTCTCTTCTCATTTTTGTCCCTAATCAGGTGTACATTCTCAGCAGAAGATGGTTTGAATTTAATTTGCGTATTTTCAATCTAGCCTCCAAAGCCATACAAAAATATTTTTCGCTGGTGTACAGATTTTTTTGACTTTGCTACTATTACATGTTTCCCATGGGAGTGCCTAGCTTCTCATACCTTTTGTTTCAAATTTGTTTGTTATTACCACTACAAATAGCTAGAATTGAATAATAAGATTACCCAGCCACCCATCTCCTCCATAGACTTCAATGAAGTTTACTGCAAAGTCTGCACACTTCTGCCACAATTTGAGAACCAAAGCCAGATAGATCTGCTCATCCCTATTGGACACAACATGGTAATGTTAACTTGTTTTAAAAAATCCAATGCTTAGCCCTGTTGCTTCTTCAGTCTCCTTATTGGTCCTTTAATTTGATGGGCAGCCACAGTCATTAAAAGGAAGACTCAAGAAGTGGGAGGGAGTGGGGTCAACCTCAGTCCTACAGGACAAGTCACAATCTTTCAGCTTTCATTGAATGTAAACTCTGCTTATTTATATTTAATGTGATGTATGCCTAGTTTGAATTGCCCTTTTCTTTCAGATCTTATAGTTATTTTTTAAAATGAGTTGAGGAATAAATAATACCATTCATAAAAGTTGTACTTTTCATCAGACTGTGCTTGTTCTGAATACAAAAAGCAGCATTTAACATAAATGTTTGTATCTGTTTTGTACTATAGAAGCTGGCAAGCAGACTCTGTTGACAGTGGATGTCACAGTAACAGCACGCCAATGAGTCCACATTATTCAGAAACCATGTATGGTGATGCCCTCCATGGGCCAATGTGTGCAGGGCAGGCAACCCTGTATGATTCAGTGAAGATTACCAATGAGACTTTGAAGGTAAATATTGATTGCAGCATAACTTTACCAACTAGCTCCGTCATGACCAAAAGTCATTGAAGCCTAGAAGTCTAAGCCAAATTTGGCAGGGTCAGCATTCTTTACTTAAAGTAATTGTAAAGGAAAAAATATTTTAAAAAACAAACAAACATGTTATACCTATCTGCTCTGTTCAATGGTTTCGCACACAGCAGCCCTGATCCTCCTCTTCTGGGGTCCCTGCTGGCGCTCCTGGCTCCTCCCCCCAAGCTGCTATGTGGGCACTCATGCGGGCGTGTTCCCGAGCCGCACTCTGTGTTCATTGACACACAGAGTGGGGCTCGGCCTCACCCACCCTCCTAGCTGCCTGTAATTGACAGCAGCAGGAGACAAAGGCTTCCACTGTTGCCTCTGAGTCAGTGAGGAGAGAGAGAGAAAAGGATGCTGTTCTGGGGCACAGCCCAGGATTGACATAGGGCTCAGGTAAGTGGGAGAGGGGGCTGTGGAGGAGATGCACACAGAAGGTTTTTTACCTTAAAGCATAGAATGTATTAAGGTAAACAAAAAAATTCTCTGCCTTTAGAACCACTTTGCCTTGACAATAATGTTATGAATAATTTGCACACCTAAATCATTTTAATATGTTTTTGTAGACATAAACCCTTCTATTTCTTTGCTTCATTTGATTATGGGCTGACAGATGTATAGAATTGTAAAAAAAAAAAACACGTCATTTTAAAATTATATTTTTTAATTAATGTATTATTGTTCTTTTTTATCACTGCAATTGTAATTAACCATTACAATTGTAGCGATAACCCCCAGGGGTCCCTTGATAATGCTTGTCCCCAGTGGTTGCCCTGACCTTGCAAGCCTTCTGACACTCTGAGTTCAGACAAATTTCAATGGTATGAATTACTAATGCAAGAGACACGATTCTTTAGTAACACCTCTACATTAGGCTCCTTCAAAAGAGTAGGCCACAGAATTAAGCTTTCGGAGGTACATCCCCAGTTAACACACAAAAGCAAAACATTGATAAAATGGAAATAACCAAATAGCAACAGTTAACAGATTGTACGTCACAAATGGTACGTTGTAACTATGTAACTGCAACAGCAGCAGTGGGGGGGGGGGGGAGGGGGGGGGGGGTAGAAAAGGCTTGTTGACTTATTAGCTCCCTTTGGGCCACTGGTGTCACAATAGAAAATGCAAGAAAGTGTGATAAAATGTGTTCTTGAGTTCTTAGATGCTTAAAGGATGTGATAGTAGCCCTTGCCTTCTGCTAGCAATGGTGGGGCCATATACAGTAGTGATTAATGGTAATTAAGATAACAAATAGACTGTGGAAAATGCTCAAAGCAAAGATCTCCTGGTGTAAAGGTGTCTGCATGCAATGTCTCTAGAGTGTTATCAGAAAGAGGTTGGGTATCTGTGCACTCACCAGTCCTATCCAGTGGATTGCATGGCCTCCTAGGAACAGGATTCTTGCACAGGCGTCTTGGCTGTTCACAGAGAACTACAGACTTACCGCCTGACAGCCTAGCATCACAGCAAGCAATGATGACTGGCTGAAATCTGGATAGTGACAGTCCCGATGCAGAGAAGCTAATGCGATCACGGTGTGGCGATCGGTGTCTCCACTAGGCTGAACTGGAATGAAGAATCCCAGAGTAGTACCCAGCAACCTATCTCTAGAGGAGAACGGCAGTCCTGCTATTCTCAGCTCTGAATTCTGGGCCAAGACAGCTAGGCAGTCCCTTGCTGTAGAATATATAAGCTTTCCCAGCATCCCTATGTATTCAGCTCTCTCTGGTAGTTGTAGTCCAATTGGCACTCAGGAACACAGCAAATACTGCGTATAGGACTACAGATCCCAGGATCCTCATCTGTACAAGAGCTGTATCCACTCTGCTAACAGAAAGTGATGTAGCAATCGTAGTACTGGGCACTAGGGTGAGAAAAGATTACTTGTAGTCTAATTTGTAAGTGTCCTTAGGTGGCATAATGATATAGCTGGCACCTGGCTACACAGATTTTTTTCATTTTGGATAGAGTAAGGGAGGGTTACCCTGTCAGGTTTTTTTTTTGCCATCTGTGTTCCATTTGAGGAGATTTCCCTTCACTTCCTGACCCATAGCCAAAACAGAAAGTGAGAGAAAATCCTTCCAAAGTGAGGGAATCCCTCACCAGATTTAGTGTTCTCAGTGGAAGATTTTCCCTCTGTTCCTGTTCAGGTGACAACCTGAAATTTGGGGTTTTCTTGCACTTTCACCAAGGTTACAGACAACAATAATAGATGTGTTAACCCTCTTCACTTTATTCAAAGCTTAAAAAATGTTTGCCTTTAATTGTACTTAAAATAGAAACATTTCCACTGTAGGCGAATAGTTTATTTTGTGATTGAAGCCTCCAGTGTGCATGGAACCATTATATAATAAAGATCACATGATCAGGAACCACTCTGATTGAAGATGAGATGTAGGAGGCACAGTGAATGTTAATCTACAGGATACATTAAAACCACAAAGCAAAGCTGACCTAGACCTTATTATTATATTTGTAGGTGGAGAATATTGTGCTAAATGACCTATGGCTTTTTTTATTCTCCTGTGCCAATAAGTGTTGTGCGTTCTTGACTTTGCCTGCTGCAGAGTCTCACTACTATTATAACATTCTCCATACTGTAAAGCTACAGACAAGTAACAGACCTTTTCTGGAAGCAATAGTAATAAATCCATTAATAATAGCAATAGCAAGAAAAACATACTTATAGGAAAATAGTACATGGCCTGATGCTGAATTGATGTACTGTGTTAATGTGAATTGCAGGTGGACAAAGAGACCAATACTGAAGATATGTTTCCAGATGAGGTCAATATTATGAAAAAGGAGAGGACCTGTCGCCGGTCTCGCGGGTCTGCTTTTGTTCGCAGCAGTACAATTGTCCGTTCCCAGACATTTTCTCCGGGTGCAAGAAGTCAGTATGTTTGCAGAGTAAGTGACATGGAACTGAATGGCTTGGTTGAGGCCCAAACATTTTCCACTTTTAATAACTACTGGAAGGGTAGGAAAATCAAACCTTTACATGCCACAGGATTCAGATATGGTTCCTAATTGAGAGAACAAAAGTGTTACTTTTAAAACTATGAAAAGCCATAAAAGTGGACCAATATGCAAATGTAAACATAAAGCATGACTAACGGTTTGGCTAATGCAAATAGAAAGAGTAACAGAAGGCTGAAATACGCATCTTTACTGAGAAAAATGTTGCTTCGAGCCCCCCTTAGTTTTGACAGCTTTTGTGAAGGCCAAAGCTCTTGGCCATGTGATTTGCACTAAAAAAGAAGTTCAGCTAGTCTGAACTCCAATCCATCCCTTCACAAGGGATCAGATGTCCTGGTATTTAGGTCTTTGCACATGAAGCCAGAACTGAAAGTCTTTATTCACATCTGTATATTTAACCACTTGACCTATGGAAAGGGGGTAACCTTTCATGACCAGGGCATTTTTTTTTGCTATTCAGCACTTTGCTACTTTAACGGGCAATTGCTCAGTCATGCAAAACTGTACCCAAATGAAATTTATATAATTGTTTTCACACAAATAGAAAGACCTTTCTTTTTCTGGTATTTGATCACCACTGGGTTTTTTATTATATAAACGAAAAAAAAAAGACTGAAAATGTAAAAAACAAAACAAAAAAAATTCAATATTTTCTAGTTTCTGTTCTAAAACATATCCAAATTCAAAAAATGTAATTTCTTCATAAATTTAGGCCAACATGTATTCTGCTATGTGTCTTGGTAAAAAAAAAAAATCCCAATAAGAGTATATTCATTGGTTTGCCTGAAAGCTATAGGATCTACAAATGATGGTCTACAGTGCTCAGCATAAATGAGTACACCCCAACAGATTTGTCAGAAGACCTTTACTTTCCTTTGAGAGTCAACATTTTCTCTGGGACACTATACTACAAAATACTCCCATAAATGCAGGCTATTGATTGCAAATAAGATGTGTTAATTTGCACACAAAAAAAGTGTTTTTCCTAACAAATTCATTCAAGACCATGTTGCAAAAATGAATACATCCCAATGAAAGCCTTAGGAGCAAAGCTACACTATATTGCCAACAATATTAGGACACCCCTCCAAATCATTGGATTCAGGTGTTCCAATCACCTCCTTGGCCACAGGTGTATAAAATCAAGCACCCAGGCAAGCAGACTGCTTCTACAAACATTTGTGAAAGAATGGGTCGCTCTCAGAAGCTCAGTGAACTCAGTTGTGGTACAGTGATAGGTTGCCACCTGTGCAATAAGTCCATCCGTGAAATTTCCTTGCTACTAAATATTCCACGGGCAACTGTTAGTCACATGCTCTCAGGGTGAATCTGCTCTCATCTGTGAAAAACACAGGGCGCCAGTGGTGGACCTGCCAATTCTGGTGTTCAGTGGCAAATGACAATCTAGCTCTATGATGCCGGATAGTGAGCACTGGGTCCACTAGAGGACGTCGGGCCCTCAGGCCACCCTCACGAAGTCTGTTTTTGATTGTTTGGTCAGAGACATTCACACCAGTGGCCTGCTGGAGGTCATTTTGTAGGGCTCTGGCAGTGCTCATCTTGTTCCTCCTTGCACAAAGGAGCAGATATCGGTCCTGCTGATGGGTTAAGGACCTTCTATGGCCCTGTCCAGCTCTACTAGAGTAACTGCCTGTCTCCTGGAATCTCCTTCATGCTGTTGAGACTGTGCTGGGAGACTGTCAAGGTCCTACCTTTCTTCAGAGCTTGTGCATCTCCATGAGCTGGCATCCATCTTGGTTTTCTGCAAAGCATGGTGGGAACCTTTATGCCTTCAGGCTTCTGCGGCTCCTCCTCAGAAGGGTGTGGTTGAGCACATTTAAACCTGCTGTCTACAAGTGTGCTCTGCACTTGTGTCCTGTATGTTGCCCTGTTGCAAGCTCTTGTGTTGTTCCCATTGCTTTCCTGGTAACCGACTCGGCTTGGACAAGACTACTCTCTGCGTTAACCCTTTACCTGACCTCCCGTTGTTGAACCCGGCCCGTGACCTGAGTATTCTTTGCCTACCGTCTAGTACTGTCTGCTCCGTTGTTATTGACACGGCTTGTCTGACTACTCTACTCGTGTTCCCATCTAGCTCCCACCAGCTGTACGCCATTGGCGGCAGTCGTTATCGCAGCTGGGGTCACTCGGGGGCCGCGACCTGGTCTCAGGCTGCGTCAAGTCCATCCCCACCATCAGGGGCCCTGGTGAAGGGTAGCCTGGGGCTTAGACTCCGCTCCCTGAGGGACTCTGGTCTGTGGGTAGTGGCTGTCGTCAGTCGCAGCGTGACCGTACCATAGGCCTGCCTGCCCATTCCAGCGTTCCTGCCCTGACAGAGACACAGTAAACCTTCTGGCAATGGCACATATTGATATGCCATCCTGGAGGTGTTTTACTGCCTGTGTAACCTCTGTAGGGTCCAGGTATTGCCTCATGCTACCAGTAGTGACACTGACCCTGGCCAAATGCAAAACTAGTGAAAAACAGTCAGAAAAGATGAGTAGGAAAACAAATGCCAGTGGCCTCCACCTGTAAAACCATTCCTGTTTTGGTGGGTTGTCTCATTGTTGCCCATCTAGTGCACTACTTGTTAATTTCATCAACACCAAAAAAGCTGAAACTGATTAACAACCCCCCCTCTGCCACTTAACTGACCAGATCAATATCCCAGGAGTTTAATTGACTTGATGCTATACTCTGATAAAAAAAAGTGTTCTTTTAATTTTTTAGGCAGTGTATGTATGTATGTGTGTGTGTGTGTATATATATATATTATATATATATATAAATACCCCTTTTATCTTTTTCTATAAGTGATCATGTGACTACTGCATAGGGGCTTAAAGTGGGAGTGGAGTCTCCTTGTGACAATGAAGTGTGTAGGGGGGGGGGGGGTGTTCGTGGCAGCCTCACTCAGAGCACAGACACAGTCTTGTGTGAAATGCAGACAGAAATATGCTGTGACAAGCTGAGAAACAGCAGTACACTAATCTTCCCAGTGAAGAGCTGTGCAGAGAAGCATGTCAGCAGAGGTCTGCCCATGGCAGTCCACTGTGCATGAGCTCAGCATCTTGTAGCTCCCAAGTAGAAGGCAAAGAAGCAAACTGACCACACTGGAATTGATGTGCTTCCATAACTTGCACAATCAGTTTAAAATTGGAAAACAGGGAGATTTGTTTGAATAATCAGGTAATTTACACAAAGGATCCAAAGCAAAAATACCAGGATAATTTGTAATACAAGTACATAGTGGTTATCAATGTTGTCTTGCAATTGATGTCCACCAGAACACATCCTTTATACTTCCGTTTCTATTCACAGTATAAAAAGGTACTGGTGTTTTAATTGGCTTCTGTTAAAATTAAACCTGTGTTTTGCTTATGTAGGCTGCCAGCTGCCCACACCCTCCTTCCCTTTGCTTCCTTAATGCTCAGCTCAGCTGCCAGGAGCAAAAAGAAATACGTGGTACTTTTGGGTGTGAACAAAGGTGAATCATTCCTCTTAATCCTACATTACAATGCTGGTATTTAGTTGTTGGCCACTCAGGAACCCAACGCTGTCACATGGGTGCAAATCAAAGCCCTTCTTCCTGTGTAAGATCCACTTTTGACTGATTAGAAAATTGAGTAAGAAGTATTTTATCGCTCTGCGGAAGACTTATATTAGAGTACAAAATGGATCTAAGCAGGATATCTGATTGTGTCAAATGTAATAGAGGGTGGTCTAGTATATTTTGCATGCCTTAGTTTTTAAAAGTTAAAAAAATGTTTTGTGGAAACCCACATTTTTAAACCATATTTGGGTCTTCAAAACAAGCACTGATCAAATCATTAAAAAGTCAGTGAATTTTCTGGTATGGTGTCTCACTGACATATTACTATTGTCTGCCCCAATGTCTGCAGTATACCAAATGTCATTATTTTAATATTTATATCATATTTTGTTTTTGCTTCTGTTTAGCTGTATCGAAGTGATAGTGATAGTTCTACATTACCGAGAAAATCACCTTTCATTCGAAATACACTGGAAAGGCGGACACTACGCTATAAGCAGGTATCGATGTAATGTGCAATTTTTACCATACAATCTGGAAAGGTGGTTATATGAATCTTTGCCATGTCCAGTATGTTAAAAAACAGAGTTTATTTAAAGAAAAACATGTCATACTTGTTTTATCAGAACAGACATCCATCTGTTAAGTGATTGCAAAGCCTTCAACTATGGTTTTTGCTTACATTCCAGATGTGTTTAAAATACTGAGGTCTACTGCTAGTGCTAGAATTACTGATTAGTATGATTATTTTTATATGTATTTTCTATGTATTTTTCAGTTGTATTTGAAGTTTACATTGCAGGGGATATTTATATAGTTTCAGTTATTTCCTTATCCAAATTGTTTATTGAAGTGGAAGAATCAAGGAGTTTACAACCGTACATACAGCTGGATCAGTGCAGGATACAGAGTTACATGAAACTGTGTCAGCATAGTGTACAGTGTATGTGCAGGAGCAGTACAATTCTGAGAAGATATCAGTACAAATAGGCAATGTAATACTGTAGCAAGTGAAGTAGAAAGATGATGATAAGATAAAAAGATATGCACAACCTCATATGCGTGACCAAGGGTTAACAAAACTATGAGTTGGTAAAAATGCGATGTTCAGATAGGCCGCTTTGTTTCCGTTATTTCAACTAATATAATACCCTAAAACGGATATACTGCTAGATTGTTCAGTAGTTTACATCTGGGACAGTGAGGGGCAGAAGGATCATATCATGACACAGCATTGCTAAGCATTTGACAGCACTAGTTTGTAAGCTGATCACTATTGAATGACAGGGACTCCAGTTACACAGTTGAAATAGAAATATGTCTATTGAATTACATAGTTGGTAAGGTTGAGCAAAGACATCAGTCCATCTAGTTCAATCAGCACACATTACAGCTTACTGATTAGTTGCTAGAGGTTACTGCACATCATTACCACTCACTGATTGGTTGCTGTGGATTACTGCTTATCAACACTGCTCACTGATTGGTTGTTAGAGGTTACTGCACATCATTACCGCTCAGGGATTCGTTCCTAGAGGTTACTGCACATCATTACCGCTCACTGATTGGTTGCTTTAGATTATGGCTTATTGTTACCGCTCACTTACTGGTTGCTAGAGGATACAGCACACATTACGGCTCACTAATTAGTTGCTAGAGGTTACAGCAGATCACTACTATTCACTAATTGGTTGCTTCAGGCTGCACATCATTACCGCTCACTGAGCAGTGGAGCAATCCCAAATTATTAAGCAAGTAAAGCGACACATTAAGGCTCAGTTCACACTGCTGCGACGGTCAAGTCTTACGACTTTGCCCTGCAACTTTTTTCCGACTTTGATCCAACTTTGTTGCGACCTTGGACATTAGACATTTAGGGGAGATTTACTGAAACTGGTGCACTCAGACTTTGGTGCATCTGTGCATGGTAGCCAATCAGCTTCTAACTTCAGCTTGTTCAATTAAGCTTTGACAATAAAATCTGGAAGCTGATTGGATTCTTTACAGAGCTGCACCAGATTTTGCACCTGCAGTTTTAGTAAAAAACCCCTTTAGAGTCTAGGGGTGAAATTGTACCTAAGTTGGACCAAAGTACTGCATGAATCTTTTCTGACGTCGGAGCGACCTGTGTAGTAACAGTTAAGACGGCTCTCACAGTGAAACATTGAATTTCACATGTCATGCAACTTGGAGGCTCACAAGTTGGATTCTATGTCGCAACAGTATGAACCAAGCCAAATACACATACTACAGGAGATCGTCAGAGACTGCAAACATACTAGAGGAGATAATCAGAGACTGCAGATTAACTACAGGAGATGACCGGAGACTACGGACGTACTACAGGAGGTAACCAGAGACTGTGGATGTACTACAGGAGATGACCAGAGAGTGTGGATATTCTGCAGGAGATGACCAAAGAGTGTGGATGTATTTCAGGAGATAATCAAAGACTGCGGATGTACTACAGGAGATGACCAGAGACTGTGGATGTACTACAGGAGATAATCAGAGACTGCGGATGTACTACAAGAGATGACCAGAGCTACGGATGTACTACAGGCGATAACCAGAGACTGTGGATGTACTGCAGGAGATGACTAGAGAGTGTGGATATTCTGCAGGAGATGACCAGAGAGTGTGTGAATGTATTTCAGGAGATAATCAAAGACTGTGGATGTACTGCAGGAGATGACCAGAGACTGTGGATATACTACAGGAGATGACCAGAGACTGCGGATGTACTACAGGAGAAAATCAGAGACTGTGGATTTACTACAGAAGATGACCAGAGACTGCGGATGTACTACAGGAGATAAACAGAGACTGCGGTTGTAATACAGGAGATGACCAGAGAGTGTGGATATATTACAGGAGATAATCAGAGAATGCGGATGTACTACAGGGGATGAACAGAGACTGTGGATGTACTACAGGAGATGACCAGAGACCTTTCACCAATGCACAGATTTACAGTTGGTGAACAACAGGTCAGGGTTTAGGATGACAGTCCATAAGCAGCCTCTGGGGCAAGGACCTACCTGGCCAGCCGGGCTCACCATCCCGCTTTCAGAGGTCGGGGGGCAGGGCTCCCATTCAGATTTCAGCTTCTAGTACAGCCACTCCCTCCCGAGCATACAGGTTGCATAGGGCGGGGTCAGAACTTCAGTGTAGTTTCTGGCCCCACCCCCTCCCAGTTGACTGAAGAATATGGCGCTGCCTCCCGTGCACCTGGTGCAGCGCGTTCTACAGTGCCATCATCAGGGCCCAAATTGGCAGGCAACAGGGGCTCAAGGAGCAGCTGCTTTGGGCCCCACAATGACTGGGCCCAGGGCAGATGGCCCTTTTGCCCTGCGTTAAAGACGACCCTGACAAGTAGCCAATCAGTTGTGCTGCTGTGGTGATATGCTAACAAAGAGGAGAGGGGAGACTCACATTGAGATTACACTATTCATTTGCTTCTACTGTCCAGTCACAGGCTATTTGTCCTGGCTGATAGTGCTCTGTGCTGTGTAGTGTAGCAGAGCTGTGTAAATCTTAGCACTGGATGGGGAGAGATACAAATCATTTGGCAGGTAAAACACCTTAAAAATATGTATTTCATCTGTCAATCACAGCCAGTGAGGAGAGAGAGGGGGGTGTGTGTGAATGGACACACGGAGCAGCGGGTGCCCCCATAGCAAGCTGCTTGCAGTGGGGGCACCCAACAGACAGGAGGAGCCAGGAGAGCCTGCAGGGGACCTGAGAAAAGGAGGATCCAGGCTGCTCAGTGCAAAACCACTGTATACAGTAGGTAAATATAGATATGTTTGTTATTTTACAGAAAAAAAAAATAACCTTTAGAATCGCTTTATACTTACAGATTTATAGAAAATAAAAGAAAACTTGGATCCTTTTGTGAATATAGGTATCCCACCAATATATTTATACCAAACTAATCTTCAGAGTGTTTAAGTTACAATATGACCCAGGTCTTGTGCTGAGATCTTTTAGCACTCATTGGAAGTCTATGTATGCATTTTCCTACCCTCTATACTGTGACCATTTCCATGTACTTGTGTTGCACATGTTCCCACTTATGTATCCCTGTAATTCAGCCTGTCCCATTTCAGAACATGAGTTTGCACAGTGTCAATATATCCTAATGTCTTAATTTGTGAAGGCCTAGCTTATCATCAACTAGGTATGCTGTCTGTGATTTTTAGGATGTCTATCTGAAAACTCACCAGTTTTAAATTCACACTGTCTTTCCTCTCAATGTGGTAAATAGCAATTTTACTGAGACATAAGATTGACATGTGCGATTTGTGTTTTGTAGCAGGCCTGCCAGTCTTCCATGGCAGAGATCATGGCACGGACATCTTTAGACCTGGAGCTGGATCTTCAGGCTTCCAGAACAAAGCAACAGCAGTTAAATGAAGAGATAAACACTCTTAAAGAACTCAAGCAACGTCTAGAGGAGGCACAACTTAGAGGTCAAAGTGAGCTTCCCCAGTGGGTGCTGCGTGATGAAAGATTCCGCTGTCTGCTGATAGAGGCAGAAAGACAAGTAAATATTCTGCTAATACATAGCTGATTAACAAGGAAATATAACAATCTTTCTTTATAGATCAAAGTAATAAGCCTCACACATAAATTATATGATTATGTTAAAATATCAAGCCAAAAACTTTTTTTTTGTTTTGGATAAAGTGGGGGAAGGATTAGAACCACTGTCTGTTTTTTACTGCGCCAACAGCAACACGGACAGAAATAAAAATGTGGTAGGTTTTTATTGCTGTCATTGTCCCTGTTGCAGAGTTAGATTCACTTTCTCTGTGATAAACCGTTGTCAATGGGACATTAGGGTAAGCAGCTCTAGCAGAGCCCCCGATAGCAGTTAAATAGCAATTCACTGTATCCAAAACTAAAAAAAAGTTTATAGCTTTAAAGTAAATGTGTAATCAAAAAACATTTGTTATTTACCTCAAGTTCTCCACACCAGCTCTACAGTGTACCCACTAGTGCCCTATGCAAATATAGAGTTTCTGAAAATCAGAACACAGACACCCTCACATTGCACATGATTCAGGTCTTTGAGTAAATCACTCAAGCACCAAGCATTTTAATGTGGGATATGGAATGGAGGTGTGCATGGAGGGATATGGAGGTGCACCTTTGTTCCATATATTTAGGAGTCTGAGTCTGAGAAAGTAAAGTTGAGTTTACATGAATGCACATTTTGTCCAGATCCAGGTGTTCAGATCTAGATTTTTAATGAGGTTGAAATAATCTGTGCTTTGTATGTTCTCTGATTATATATAATTTTAGCTTCAAAGCCTCATTCTACCTCTGCATAAATGGAAATCTGCTGTGAAAGTATAGATAGATGACCCTAAAATGTAAAAACACAGCATGCAACAGCTGAGGATGCTGCAGCGTTAGAAAACATGATTACAGACTAGGCACAGGAAGAGTCTAACATATTAATTGTGGTGAAGATATCTCTGCTCTATAGCTAGTATTTGATATTTCTTATAATAGTTTCATGTTTATTTTTCTCTTTAGATGAGACAGACCAAGCTTGAGCTGCACCAAGAACAAGCAGCTGAGAAAATGCTTAAAAGAGTCTCCAAAGAAGTCTTCCAGCTGCGTGGTCAGAATCAAAAGGAACCATTGCAAGTACAAACCTTCAGGTAACTGAAATTAAAACAAAATTATACATTTAAAAACATTATACATGTCTGCTGTAATAACATTATGCAAAAGGTATACCATGTCTCAGCTTTAACTGCAGAAATACTTTTCTTCTACCTGGGACATTCCTGGTATTAAAAGAAACTAGTACAATCCAGAGAACCTCTTTTACCTCTCACTTGCTTCTGTGGTGTACTTTGTACACCTGACACCTGGGTCCAACCACCTTTTTTTGAGGGGGGGGGTTAAAATAAATTAACTGAAGACATAAAGCGGAGGTTGGCCAAATTGTGCTGCCAATGGGAGGGGCTTATAGGGGTGTAGTTAAATAAAACTCCCCCTATACTCAGCACACATATGCCACAGTCCCTTTACCCACAAATAATGCTTAGAGAGCAGTAGTCAGGTGTATGAAATGTAAAACACGGTGAGAGGAATTTATCAAAACTGGAGGAGGAGGCAAAATCTGCTTCTGTGCAAGCCAACCAATCAGTTTCTGTCTTCAGCTTGTAAGCCAAGCTTTGAAAATGAAATCTAGAAGTGGATTGTTTGCTATGCACAACTGCTCCAGATCCTGGTGCCTCTAGTTTTAATAAAAACTACATTTCAGTTCTGTAGTGCAGAGGTCAGGACTGCATAATAGAATGGCCACTTTACAGAGTGCAGCCAAAATTACTCCCCTCAACACAAACCCCTCAGTACAGATTCCCCTTCCAGCACAGACCGACCTCCCCAATACAGAACCTCCGGTACAGAAGAACCTGTCGAGCACAAACCCCCTCAGTATAGGCTCCCCTCCCCGGCACAGATTGACCGCCCCCCACCACCACCACCACCACAGCAGACACCAACTCCCTCATCACAAACCACTCCACCAGCACAGACCGACTTACCAACACAAACCCGTCAGTACAGATAAACCCACACCAGCCCAGACTGACCCCTCAGTGCAAACCACATTCCCCCAAGAACAGACCCCTAAGCATAGACCAACCCCCCCCTTCCCCCAGCACATATTTTTCAGCACATACTGGCCCCTTCTCCTCAGAACAGACTCCATAGCACAGACCAATCCTCTCAGGACAAACCAATCTCCCCCCAGCACAGACTGACCTCTCCCCCATAAGAACAGACCCCTCCAGCACAGACCAACTCAACCCCCCCCCGCTCCCTTCCCCTGCACAGACCCTCAGCACAGATCGACCTCCCCAGCACAGATCCCTCAGTACAGACTAACCCCCAAAGCACAGACCCTTCAGCACAGAATGACCTCCCCTGCATAGACCCCTCAGTACAGACTGTCCCCCTCAGCACGGACTGACCTCTCCCCAGCACAGACTGACCCCTCCCCCACAAGAACAAACTCCTCCAGCACAGACCAAACCTCCCAGCGCAGACCCCTACCCCAACAGTACAGACCCCTCCAGCACAGAACAACCCCCCACCAGGGGTGGACTGACCATTTGGAAACTCAGGCACTGCCCGAGGGCCTGGGGTCAGTAGGGGGCCTCATGAGATGCCCCTGGTACCTTTTCTTAGGCTTTTTTGAGTTTGGGCAAGGACACAGGGGCCCCATGATCCCCTATTGCCCGGGGGCCCAATGATTTGTCAGTCTGCCCCTGCCCCCCACCCTTTCCCCAGCACAGACCCCTCAGCACAGATTGACCTCCCCGGGACAGACCCCTAAGTACAGACTAACCCCCAAAGCACAGACCCCCTCAGCATAGATCGACCTCCCCTGCATACACCCCTCAGTACAGACTGTCCTCCTCAGCCCTACCTCCCCCCCAGCACAGAACCCTCAGCTCAGTTCGACCTCCCCTGCTCAGACCCTTACCCACAGACAAATCCCCTCCAACCTAGCACAGACCCCCCCACCCAAGCACAGACCCTTCTTTACAGATGACCCCCAAGATAGAATACAATACAGACAGACTCCCCTAATACAGACCCTGCAGCATAGACCGACTCCCCCAGCACAAGCCCCTTAATACAAACGGACCAGCCCAGTACTAACTCCTCAGTACAGACACACCACCCCCTGCCCCTGGCACAACCCTTTCAGTACAGATTGACCTTATGTCTGTAAAGAAATAAAGTACTCTGTTATACTGTAATGGGCCTTTCCTTATACAGATTACTGGTTTGCATGTTTTTCTGAAGGTATTTGGTTCTGTTGTAGTCACATAAGGAGGGTTTTGTAAAAGTTTGGTTAAGAGCTCAGACTGGGGAATGTAGTTTGTATACCATTTGATTTAGGTCATAGAACCGTTGTAACAGTGGCAGCCCAGTCTTTTTTTAATGTTATTTTTTTGCATTTTTTTTAAATTTTTATTTTCCTTTATATTTTTTGCATTTTGGTGGTTGACAGTTTAATTTGATAGTTTAATCGTCACAGTGGATTGGATTACATCCTAGCACAGACTAATAGTAAGTTATGAGGTCTCTTATCCTGCTAGGCAGGGCTGCGTGATGTGGCAGAGCTGTGTAAATTTTAGAACTAGATGCACAGAAGTACAAATATTTTGACAGGTAACAGTTTCCTTATATAGTTTATCTGTATTGTATATTTAATTTAACTGTTTGCCAACTGTTGAGCTTTAACCTCTTCGTGCCAAAATTACGCAAGGGTGGGCCTCGACGCTGTGAGACCGCATATTTGCGTACCAAAATGTAAACAAATCTGTGCCCAAACCACACCTAACGGAAAGCTCCCATAGATACCTGCAATCTGGAGCTTTCCAATCATGTCACCACTGTGACAGCCAATCACAGTGGTCACATGACCATAAACCCTGCCACGCCTCCCAGCCCTTTAAGGCCCTTTTTACATGCTGGATAGGCACAGAGGTCAGATATAATGTAAAAAATACTTATTTTACAAATCTGTTTGGAACCTCATTATCTAAGCAAACTCTTTCTTCTATGCTACTGACAGGGAGAAGATAGCATTTTTTACAAGACCAAGGATCAATATACCTCCTCTGCCAGCTGACGATGTATGACGCGTTTCATGCAAACACAGGACGTATCGAAAACATTGTTTGTATTTCCATGAAGTTATTAAACTAGTGAAGTTTAATATTACAAATGTTTTAAAAGCTATTCATTATTTTTTGTAAAAAATAAAAAACACAATAAAAATGAAAAACATATATGCATTATATAAATATCTATAATTATATATTTTATAATATGACCGCAGCAAGGCTTGGTTTTTCCTTGCTGTAACACTGACATCTTTGAAGACAAACTATTTTATAGATCAACTACTCTCTTCTGAAAAAAAAAATGTACAGTTTTGATGCTTTTTAATGTGACTTTTAATAAAAAAGGCTGGAAATTGGAAATAAAGCAAGTTCGGGACAGTTCACTGTAACAGTAATTTATTTATAGGTTTTTTATTTTCCTTGAGGGAAAATACCTACTTTAAAGATGTTCTAGATTGAATTTATGCTTCCAAGTGTTTTGTCATACAGCTGAATTGGACTGATGAACTGGCTTTCTTTCTGGTACCTGAAACGAAAATATTATTTGCAAACTGTCATCTTTGGTAGCTTTTTTTTTTTTTTGTTATATTTTTTTCTTTCTTTTTTCATAACATATCTCATATTCTTTCACATGATTTCTGTACTGTACTGAAATATTATCACTGCAAGGGTTTTAATACAGATTAAAATGGCATTGCATTTTCCATAGCTCTTCTTGTGTTCTTGGTCTTTTTTGTCACTGTGTTTGGAACACTTCTGAGGTTACTGCTCTTCTTTTTAGGTTATTGTAATGGTTACCCAATGTAACTCTTAGCACAATTTCTATACATATTTGTTTCAGGTTTTGTTCTATTATTTTTTTTTTTGTTTTCAATATTTTTTAACCACTTGCCTTCCTGAGGATTTACCCCCCTTCATGACCAGGCCATATTTTGCGTTACTGCGCTGCGTTACTTTAACTGACAATTGTGTGGTCATGCAACACTGCACCCAAATTAAATTTATGTCCTTTTTTTCCCACGAATTGAGCTTTCTTTTGGTTTTATTTGATCGCCTGTGCATTTTTTTTTTGTTGAGTTTTTTTGCGCTATAAGCAAAAAAAGACTGACAATTTTGAGAAAAAAAAACAGTATTTTGGACTTTTTGCTATTAAACATTTGCAGTAAAAAAATTAAAAAAAATCAAATTTCGTCATAAACTTAGGCCAAAATGTATTCTGTGACATGTCTTTGGTAAAATAAATCCCAATACGTGTAAATTAATTGGTTTACGTGAAAGTTATATAGTTTACAAATGGCAGTATAGATAATGGGATTTCTAAATTTTTTTTCTACTAGTAATGGCGGCGATCAGCGACTTTTAGTTGGACTGCGACGGACATTCTGACACTGGGGGGAAACTAACTTGGTGTCACTGACATCTCCATTGACACCAATACAGTGATCAGTGCTAAAAAAAAAGCACTGACACTATACTAATGGCACTGGGCAGGAAAGGGTCAATGTGAGGGGCGATCAAAGGGTTAACTATGTACTGTGTGTGTGTTTTACTAGGGGGTGGGGGTGTGTTCTTCACTGTAAGCACACTGATCAGGATGGCTGTACTGTGCACAGCCATCCTGAGCAGGGTGCTCGAGCTGACAGGGAGGAGGATTGTTTGTAAGCAAAACAATCTTCCTCCCCATCGGAGATGCTTGGTAATCACCGGGCGATGGGGTAATTGACATCCGCGGCCGCAAATGGCGGCGTGGGTAGGGTGCGTGTGGGTCACACGTGCCCCCTACCTGGAAATGCAAAATCATGTATATATATGTGATTTTGCGCACGCGTGCCGCCTTGTAGCAATATATCTGCTATAGGGCAGTCCTAACATTCAAGGAGAAATACAAGTTTTTATTATTTTTTAAAGCAGAGCTAAAGGGAAAACCATAGGGTTATATTGCCACCCACAGCAGTAAGACACTAGGCAGAAAAAATAAACTCGGCATCGCCTATAGAGAGTCCTGGCTGCTATAAACCGCCTCTCTGCATAGGCAATTTTTTATGCCTAATGAGGAGTAAGGACCTAGTTTCCTTCTGGGACTTGTGGTTCTTTAACCTTTTTTCTTTTTTTCTGTGATTTTTCCTGCGATCTGCAGTCAACAACTGGGCTGGGCAACAGGCTGGATACTATAGATCCAGTGGTCTCCTCAGCCTGGCCAATGAGCGCACGCAGACCTTCTGTTAAGTGCTGGGTCAGCCGCAATGGGCCCCATCCTGGAGAAGGTCAGGCCAGCGAGTTAATTGCCTCACAGGGACTCTTTTGACTGGGTGCACTATAGTCTGTGTAACAGTGCTACCCCTGGCCGACAGCCCCCCCACTTTGGTAGAGAGGAAGTTCTGTCATGAGAGCTTTTCCCACATGCTCCAGCTGGATCAGTAAGTACTCTGCCCCCTTTTTCCCTTCCCAGACTCAGTGTGGTGGTGTGGGTACTGCCTGGGGTGCTCGACCCTGCAGGATCCCCTCTCCAGCCTTGGTGGTAGCCTGTCACTCGACCTCCCCTCCCCAAATGGGGGCTCACCTGCCTGGACATAGTCCTGCCTGTATGTGCTAACCTGGGTTGTAGTGTGGGGGCCCACTGGTGCTGCAATATTCCCCAGGTGTTCTTACCCTCATCTACTGGCACTATGGGTAGAGGCATGGCAGTGGGGTGTGGACTGTTTTTCTTTTTTTGGTCTCGGGCTGTACAGTGGCGCTGCAAGTATGCCATGTGTATCCAACACTTTAGGCCACTGCTTTGTGGCCTGCTGGGTAGGCAGGGGCACGCGCCATTTTATCTTTGGGCATCTGCATTTCTTTGCCTCACTCCAATGCCACTGGTGCTCCACTCCGCCTTCAGCAGAACAGGGATATGGAGGTGGGTCCTGCATTTCCAGAAATCCTCTCTGATCCCGACCAGGAAGCTGGACTATCTGGGCCTGATTCTCAACACTTCGCTGGCCCAGGTGCTCCTTCTAGTGGACAAGGTTCAGAAGCTTCAGTTGGCGATCAGCTGCTGCTGTTCCACAGGCGGTCTTCCTTTTTAATGTTGCATGCAGGTCTTGGGGCTGATGGTGTCTGCCTTTGAGGCGGTTCCATATGTTCAGTTGCATACCAGGGCTGTCCAAAAGGAGATATTGTCCAAGTGTGCCAAATCCTTCCACTGGCCCAGGTGCTCCATCTGTTAGACAAGGTTCAGAAGTTCCAGCTGGCGATCGGCTGCTGTTTTTCCACAGGCGGTCCTCCCATTTGCTGTTGCAAATAGGAGATCTTGTCCAAGTGGGCCAAGCCCTCCGACCCCTTGGACACCCGAGTTCACCTGGGTCCTCAGATCAGGATGTCTCTGCTTTGGTGGCTTTGGCCTCCTGTCTTTCGGGAGGGAAAATCGTTTTTGCCCTTGCACTGGATGGTGGTCACGATAGACATCAGCTGCGGAGGAGTGCTGGGGGCGAGCTGGACCCAGGGTTGCTGTACGCCAGAGGAGTTCCGGTTACCAGTCCCAGGACTTTGGGAGATCAGGCTTTGCCTAGAGCAGTGGACGGAGCATGTGGGGGGGGACCTGGTCCAGATGTCCACTGTCCGATGTCAACCACCAAGGCGAGGAGTGTGGCTACATCGCTAGAGGCCTCCTGCATTTTCAGACGGATGGAGCATGACATGCCGGGATTCTCCGCTGTGCACATTCCCAGGGTGGACAGTTGGCAGGCAGACTGCCTCAGCCATCAAATGTTGGACCAAGGCAAGTGGTCCCTGTATTCTGATGGATTTCATCAGATTTACCTCTGGTGGGACAATCCAAATGTGGATCTACTAGCATCTCGGTTCCACAGTGAAGTGCCGAGATTCATGACCAGGATGAGGGATCTCCTCGTGAATACACAGATGCCGCCCTGGTGGTGTTGTGGAGTCAGTATCATCTCCTCTATGCATTCCCTCCCCTAAAGCTTCTGCCCTGCCTGCTGTGAAGGATGGAGGCCATAGGCTTTCCAGTCATTCTGGTGACTTTGGATTGGCCCCACCTCCCTGGTATGCAGATGTGGTATGGTTGGTCATGGACGTCCCTTGGCGTCTGCCGACCAGGGCAGATCTTCTGTCTCGGAGGCCGATCTTCCACCCTGCTTTTCAGTTGTTTGCTTTACCGACTTGGTTATTGAAAGCCGGGTTCTAAGCGAAAGGGGACCGTCAAAGTCAGTGTTTCCTACCATGCTGACAGCACAGATGTCTACTTTTATGAAGATATACCATCGCACCTGGAAGGCTTATTTCTCATGGAGCGCATCTGCGGTTGTTCATCCATGTACCTTCTCGGTGGCTAGGATTTTGTCTTTTCTGCAGCGGGGTGTTGAGAGGAGGATGACGTTAAGTACCATCAAGGGCCAGATTTCTGATCTGGCGATTTTCTTTCAACACTCCCTAGCCATGCACTCTTTGATCCATACTTTCATTCAAGGGGTTCAGCAGGTGGCCTTGGGATCTGAATCTGGATATTTCTGTTCTTCAATGACCTCCTTTTGAGAATATGCTGAGATTCCCTTGCTTACACTGTCACAGAAGGTGGCCTTTTTAGTAATTATCATTTCTGCTCGCAGAATGTCAGAGTTGGCGGCCTTGCCCTGCTGGTCTCCTTATTTGGTTGTGAACTAGGATAAGGTGGATCTCAGTCCGTGCCCTTTCTTTTCTTTTTTTCATACTAACGATTTTTACTGCAGCACAAGGTACAGACACAATGGGGTTGATTTACTAAAGGCAAACAGGCTGCGCACTTAGAACTGCACTTACAGTGCAGTTGCTCTAGAACTGAGGGGAACATGAAAGGAAAATAAAAAACAGATTTTTGCTTGCACATGATCGGATGAAAGAAATTAGCAGAGCTTCAGCTCATTTCAGAGCTTCCCCCTCGGATATAAAGCAACTGCACTTGAAATGCACTTGCAAGACACTTGCAGTGCAAAGTATATTTACCTTTAGTAAATCAACCCCAATATCAGTAAAGCAGA